CAAGGGAAGTCCCTGATATCTGGGTACTCTGGACATGAAGCAACAGAGAGGGAGGGGGTCATGTGAATGCCTGACCCCGCTGTTCCCAGAGGTGCTGACAATGCGTACAGATTCACACCCGGCCACACAAAGAACCCCTCAGATACTGGATTTACTTACCGTTTGCCTCACTAAAATACTAACCCCACCACAACACAGGTCATTGCCTGTTCACTACTGCATCCCCAGAGCCCAAAACAGTGCCTGGCACGTAGTAAGGGCTCCATAAATGTTTGTTGAATGATGAGTGGTAGGGAGGGGTGGGACCTCTGATATGTTCAGGATCAAGTTGAACTGAGTCTGTGTAGTAGCTGGATATGGTGATGGCATGTCTCTCTGTGTGGGGCTGTGTCCCCCTCTGTGCCCACGCTCCTGTCACATGCCAAGCCTCGGGGTGCAGTAGTTCGAGGGTGACAATGGAGGCCTCTCTAGCTCCAGATGTGGCTGGATCTCTGAGGGGGGGGTCTGTGAACACCATCATGAGGGAGGGAGGGAGGCACAGCTGGATGTGCGCCACTGTGTGTGTGCCCTGCTCTTCACACCAGGGTGTCTGAACACGGCTGAGGAGGCAGGTTGTACAATGTGGGTCTGGGATGTGACCTGCAGCTGTGGTGGGGATGTCAAGGACCAGAGTCCGTGGGCCTTTGGTCCCTGTGAGTAGCTGTGCCTGTGCCTGCTATGGCATGGTGTGTGTGTGACATCCCCTGCTGGGCCCACAACCATCTCTGTACAAAGCCCCAAGGCCCCCGCTCCACAAACACACTGGCCACCCGCCCCACCCCCAGCTCGGAACAGTGGGTTTCAGTAATTGCTCAGGAAGCACAAGCACAGCGATTAATTAAGGCTGTTGAATATGCAAATCAGCTGGGGGTTTTCCCAGCAGCCGCCTGGGTGCTGCCAACCACGCTGAGTCAATCCAGGGAGCCGAGCGAGGCCAGAATTCCCTTCTCACACCTTTGTCAATTAACCTTTAATTTACAGGGCCGGGTTTCTCATTCACTAATGAGCTTTGGGCTAAGTAAAGCACCTTATTAAACTATGCATTAATTGTCCCTTCCCTCCATAAAGCCTGCATCAGGATGGTTAGAGTTGGAAGGCAGAGATAAACCAACTGCAGGCAAACCCTGAGCTCTATATGCAGGTCAGCCACCATCCCTCATAGTCAGGTCCTTCCTGCCTCATCTGTGAAGTGGAAAGGAGAGACTGGGCCTTAGTGAGCAAGGAAAAGACACTGAGAGACAAATCCAAGTGCTGAGCCCAGGGGTGTTGTTTTGTTTAAATAACCATAAGAGGGTCTGTAGCTCAGTGGCAGAGTGTTTTCCTAGCATGTGTGAGGCACTGGCTTTGATCTTCAGCACCACATAAAAATAAACAAATATGTGATAAATAAATTAAACCAGGTAAACATTGGATGAGCAGTATCTGGTAGGTAGACAATAAATGGCCATTACGATTGGTATTGATAGTGTTAGCACATCTCCAGTGACAAATTCACAGTGGTAGGGCTTTTGAGGACAAGGATATTCAATATTAAATTTTAATTTGTTCCTTTTCCTGAAATGAGACCTCCTGGTTGTCACACATGCTCCCATGCCAACCTTCAGTGAAAGTTGGATTCACTTACCGTGTTAGTCAGGATAATTAATGATAGCTGCTATAACAAGCAACCCTAAAAATATCTCAGTGGCTTAAAACAATCAAGCTGTGTGTTCGTATCACCATCTGATGGAGATCTCCTCCAAGCAGTGACTCAGAGAATCAGGCCCCTTTCAAGTCCCTGATGCAGTTGGCCTTCTGTATTGTCAGGATTCAATCAACTACAGGTTGAAATATTTGAGAAAAAAAAATGGGACTGTTCTAAACAGGTACAGAATTTCTTCTTGTCATTATTTTCCAAACAATAGAATATAACAATGATTTACACAGTATCAAGTATTATAAGGAATCTAGATGGGATTTTCAAAATAAATTGGCAGTGCTGGGGATTGAACCCAGGGCCTTGCCCGTGCTTGAACAGAACTCTAGTGCTTTACCCTGGCCCAGAACAAGATGTCAAGTGCTGAAACCAGGGGTTTTATTTTGTTTAAATGACCACAAAAATTCCCCTAAGGAAAGGCTGGGAGTATACAGGGAAGTGTGCAGAGGTTATATGCAAATACCATCCCATTTTGTATGAGGGACTTAGATCCCTGGACTGTACTTGGAGGAAGGGACTCCAGGAGCCAACCCTGTAGCCTGAGTGACTGATTAGATGATGCTCCCATTGTACACCTATGACTGCCAAGGTTACCTTAAAGGGAAAAAGAGGCCAGAGGATCACACAGGAGATTTTATAGCATCCTATTGGCTAAGACCCAATCACTGGTCCCAACCTAACTTCAAGGGAAGCAGGAAAATCTATTTCCCAGGATGTGCTCAGGAAGAGAAAAGCCCCACATAGCGCTGGTGTTGCCGCCAATTTTACTTTATTTTTGCAGCACTGGGATCAAACCCAGGCCCTTGCACATTCGAGACAAGTCCTACTGAGCTGCAGCCCCGGTCCCTCCCCAGGCATTTTTGAGATAAGGATGTTCAAGGGAGGAATTAAAAGGAAAACAGACCCAAGTCTATATTTGGGTTGCTGAAGAGAACACAGAGTAAAGAAATCAGTAGAAGCAATAAATCAGAAGAAGTGGCCAAGAGAAATGCCAGCCCCTCCCAGGCTTTCCTTGGTATTTGGGGGTGTCAGGGTCCTTCACTGTGGAGGTGTCCTCACAACTCCTGGCACACTTCCGGTCTCTGTGAAGTCTACCCTCACCTCTCTATCCCAAATGTCCCAACCCCATCATTCTCTATCAGATCATTTGTTTAAATTTTCTTTCACAACAGTTACTACCAGCTGAAATTGCAGTCTCCAGCTATTTATTTGGGCATTATCTGTTTCCCTTGGGAGTAAAATCCCGAAGGCAGACGCCACATATATCTTCTGTCTCTGGCATCTAGAAACAGTACCTGGTGTGGAGTAAATACCCCAGAGAACTGCATAAGGGAGAAGTCGGCGGATAAATGAACTCATCCTCAACCACCAGACAGCTACAGATTTTCTAGAATCAGGACGCTGAGCAACACTGAATAATGAGGAAACCTAAGACAAGTCAGGTGGCTGTAGAGGGTTCAAGAGCAGGAAGAGTAGGGTGGGCAAGGCCTGGGTTTTTTGGGTGGGGGAAAGTTACCCCAACCTCGGCCCACCCAGTCCTACCAGACCCAGCTCACACCATCCTCCAGCACCCCTAACTAGACTCAACCCCACAATGTCTAACGCCCACCACCATCACCCGATGAATGGTGTGTCCATAGAATAGACTTGTTCAACAATAAAAGGAATGAACCCCGGGGCTGGGAATGTGGCTCAAGCGGTAGCACGCTCACCTGGCATGCACAGGGCACTGGGTTCTATCCTCGGCACCACATAAAAATAAAGATGTTGGGTCCACCGAAAACTAAAAAAAAATAAATATTAAAAAAAGAAAAAAAGGAATGAAGCCCCAGTGGCTTGGGAGGCTGAGGCAGGAGGATCGGGAGCTCAAAGCCAGCCTCACCAACGGCAAGGTACTAAGCAGCTCAGTGAGACCCTGTCTCTAAGTAAAATACAAAATAGGGCTGGGGATGTGGCTCAGTGGTCGAGTGTCCCTGAGTTCAATCCCAGTACCCCCTCCCAAAAAGGAATGAAGCACGGAACGGTACGCTAAGAAACGCTACTAAACAAGCCTAAAAACTACTGCTAAGTAAAAAGCCGGACACAAGGGCCCTTATTGTCAAACTCTATTGATATGAAATGTCCAGAAGAGGCAAATCTACAGAGACAGAAAATTGATTAGTGGTTGTCTAGGGCTGGGAGGCTGGGAAGAAATGAGGAGTGATTGCTCATAGATATGGCATTTCTTTGGGGTATGATAAAAATATTCTAAAATTGATTGTGGTGAAGCTTATACCAGTTTGAACAGATGAAAACCACTTAATTCCCCAGTTTCAATGGGTGAATCATATGGTATGTGAATTCTATCTCAATAAACCTGTTTAAAAATACTTAGCCAAAGCCAGTGCTATAAGGCCAGATACTGGGGGACTGAGGCAGGAGGATGGTGGTAAGTTCAGCCCAACATCTTACCCTTGATTCAAGTCACCTTGAATCTAACCTCATTTCAACTGATCCCGTGATCAGCTCCCCAAACTGCCAAGCCACTTGCTCGGTTCACCCCACTTCTGAAATCCACCTTAATTCAACCCAACAGCCAATTCCTGATTCTCATCTCATTTTTTAGTTCTTTAAATTTTCCTTTATTTATTTATTTTTAGGTGCTGGGGATTGAACTCAGGGGCACTCAACCACTGAGCTACATCCCCAGCCCTATTTCTTTTTTTTTTTTTTTTTAGAGACAGGGTCTCACTGAGTTGCTTAGTGACTCGCTGTTGCTGAGGCTAGCTCTGAACTTGCGATCCTCCTGCCTCGGCCTCCCGAGCTGCTGAGATTACAGGCGTACATCACTGCCGTGGCTCTCATCTTGTTTTTAGTTTAACTTCCCCATCCCCAGCCCCTACACCCCAGTGACTTCAAGCCACAGCTCCTACCTGTCTCCCCAGCCCACAACCCACCCGCTGACTTGCCACTCAGATCTTTGGCCTCTACTGATTTCACCTCAACATATGACCATGTCTCCTTATCATCTCTCCATTCCCCGGCTCAGGGCAGCCAGAGATTCCAGCACTGATCAAAGCCAACATGGGAAGTTGGGTATCTTCAACTTTTCTTCCAGGATTCTGGGCTAGTAAACACGCCCATGACTTCCAGCGAGTGCCATTATAATTAACCCCCCCAAAGGGGTACCCCTAATTGAGACAGCTGGGGGCAGGTCCTTCCAGTGAGACAAGAGCTGAACCCTAAGAGAGAGGCGGCCGAGGCCGGATGAAAGACAGAGACAGGACACAGTTCCGTGGTTTATTCTCAGACTTGAGATGCCAATTTTGCCCTAGGGGCCTGGGATGGGGAAGAGTGGAGTTGTGCGGGAATCTCTCTCATCATTTCCCAGCCTTCCTGAAGAGGAAGCAGATTAAATATACAACAGAGGGGCTTTTCCCTTTTAATACACACCCGGGTATAAATAGGGCAGCACCATTAGGATCCTGATTCGTCCCCACCATCTTGATCCACAAACCACCTGGCATGGCGAGGTAAGCTTGGGGGAATGGGAGGTGGGGGCTGGGCTGAGGCAGCAAGGAATACACAGCTGTGTCCAGGGAAGTCCAACTTCCCTCTGTAGTCTGACTTCAGTCCCTTCACTGTGAACCCACGTGGGAATGAGAATGAGGGAAGAGGTCCCAGATGGGATCAGGAGACATCCAGTGCTTAACTATGGGGCAGAGGAGCACCAAGGAGTGTTGGGGGCACTGACTGAGGGGCGGGGGCGGGCAGAGGGGGGCATGTGACTCGGAGTTAGAAGCTCACTGCACAGGGGGTTCATGGGTAGGAGTTGAGGGGTGAGTGAGATGGAGGAGGGGAAGGGCCAGAATGCACCTGCGCCACCCGGAAGGGGGGAACGCCTGAGCCCTTGGGCCAAGGAGTCCATCCCTCAACCCCCAAAAGGGAGGAGTATTGTTTGACCTTGACCAGCGGAGTCACACCTCCTGGCTCAGAGTCCCAAGAGATGATAAACACGGTGGCTTCAAAGCCTCCGCACCAAGTGGGCCCCGTCCAGGGCTCCCTCGCTGTCCTTCCCACCCACTAGACTCTCAGCTGCTGAAGCAGACAGGCCCCAGTTCAAACCCAAACTTCTGGTTCGTCTGGCCAAAGTCAAGGGCGGACACGTCCCACAGGGGCAGAAAGCCGGCTCGGGAAGAGCTAAGCTCCAGGAGGGTCTTCGCCTGTCCCTTCCGGAGCTGACGAGAGAAGACAGAGCCGGTGGTGAGCGAGGAGGAGGGAGCAGCAGCAGCCTCTCCTCCCGGCGCGCTGCGGGGCCCCCCTGCTCCAGCCCCTTACCCGGCAGCCGTCGCGGGGAACTCTGATGCTGGCCGCTGTCGTCTGGTTGAAGGACAGCTCTTCCCCATTTGTGCCGAGGAAGCGCAGGGAGCGGCCGTGGTCCCCCGCAGCTTCGTCCAGCCAGGCCACGGAGTTCTGGCAGGAGTAGGTGAAGCTCTGGCGGGCCACGGCGCTCAGCAACTTCAGGAAGGTCAACTGCACCACGTTCACCGGGGACCCATCGGCGTCCACGTAGGAGAACTGAGGTGGGGCAAGGCAGGGAGCCAGGGGTTCCGAGAGCCAGGTTCTCAGAAGAACCCACCTTCCAGAATCTCTGCCCACCGACATCTCCCCACATCCCCACCTCTAGGGCAGCCACAACCCCCGGCCTCAGATCCAAAGTCGAATCCCAAGCCCCCTCTTCATCTAGCAGATCACCAGGCCTGGCTCATCGGACTCCCAAATCTTGGCCACTTGTTCCACCAAATCTAGGCTTGTAACATGCTCGAAGCTAGGCAGAACTCAGAAATTCTATCTAGACCATGGCTCTTGTGAGCTCCTGATTCACACAGCCAATAGCTCCCCACATTCTGTATCTGCTCTAATCAATATGGCAGCCATATGTCCAATGGCTGTAGGGCTATTGAGTATTTGAAGTATAACCAATACCACACGAGGAAGGAATTTTTTACTTTGATTTTTTTTCTTTTTTAAATTCATAACTAATAACTGAGTCATAATCCAATTACCAAAAAGCTTATGTTTAGAAAAAACTGAGTATGCAAATCTGTTTTTCAACTGTTTTCAATGTTGAAATCTAAATATATTCAAGCATTCCCAATAAAATTTAGCCTCCAAACCGTGATGTTGTAAGTGTGAAATTTGCACCTGATTTTAAAGAACTAGTTTTAAAAATGCAAAATATCTTAATTCTTTATGTCGAGACAACAATTTTTGGTATATTGGCTTCAGTAAGATTATTATGAAAAGATAGCTAGCTTGCAATAGCTGGGGTAGTGACACATCTTTTTGGCTTCTTTCTCATCCCTGCATCCTGATGATTTCTGGAATCACCTCCCAGATAGACGACTGGCAATTGTACTCTTGTCTTAGGGTCTGCATTTTGGGAACCCAAACTAAGGTTTGCGCTCATGTTATTACCATAGCTTTGTTTATTTTCTCAGAGAATATCAGCCTCGTGAAGTCGGGAACCATGTTTGGTTTGCTTCTGTTCCCAGTGCTCAGTACATGCATATTCACTATGTGAACAGCTTCCAAACTGAACCCAATGCCCCACCCCTCCCTCAAACTGACTCTTCATCTCAGAGAAGAGTCTCATCAAACAAGAGTCCCCCAGGTCAGGAACCTGAGCATCATCCCATCTCCTCCTTCCCTGCATCTCATCAGTCACCAGGTCCTATAAACTGGAACTCTAGATACCCTTCCAAGTCACGTCCTCTCTGCACCCCTGTGGCTCCAACTCCAGTGCAGACGCCCTCCTCTCTCTCTCCTGAACCAACACACCAGTCTCTTTCGGGGACTCCTGGCCTCCAGTCCGCACCTCATGCCACCCCAGAGGCATTTTTCTGACAGATATTGAATCGGGGTCCCCTTCCTCACTCAAACACATTCCCTGGCTCCCCTCTGCCCACAGGTGCCTTGGTCTAGCCCTCGCCTGCCGCTTCATAATTCTCCCAGTCTCTAGAGCAGGGCAAGTGGCTTCCTCTGGAAATTCCCCAGACCCCTCTTGACTCTGAGCCTCTGCATATCCTGGCCCCTCTGCCCAGAACATTTGTCCTTGTCCTCCCTAACTTGCTCACCCAGCTCACGTCAGGCTTCAGAAGAGCTGTGACCTCTACCAGGAGGCCCTCAGGCCCTGCTCAGTGTCTGCTTTGCACTATGCACCACTCCCCTGCCCTGGCGCCAAGGCTCTGCCCAGGGATGAACTGCTGGTCACACGCCCGTGCTGCCCCCACTCCAACCTGCAGTCACCACGGAGACAGAAGAGAGTCTGTCCTGTACACCTCGCCCCTCAGAGCCCCTTCCACACCTCCCTAGGCTGGTTCCCATCAGGCTGCATCTTGCCACCCCACCGTGGCCTGGGGTGACTCACCTTCTTTCCTCGGCGGAATGTGCTGTACCAGTTTCCAGGCTTTTCCTTGGACCAGGAGGCCAGCTTCACCTGGGAGAGGGTGGGAGGGTCACTGCAGCAGCCGCCTGTGGTGCCCACGCATTTACCCCGGCATCTACCTCCTCACACCGCAGGCTGTGGACTGAGGGGACCTCAGGCCGAGCTCTGGCCACGGGGTGGGCCCAACCCATCAACGAGAGGGACGAAGGGGCTTCTGCCCCTGCACAGTCCCCAACCGAGGAGAGTTGGGAATTGGGGGATGGGTACCCCGGCTCCTCGCCCTCGAGGGAAACTCCTGCTGTCGTCACTGTTCCCTAGTGGGACTGAGCCCTGGGTCCTCAATCGCACCACTTTAATGCCACATCCTCTCCTGGATGCCTTCCCTAGCCGCCCCGCTTCCCCTCTCCTCCCCTGGAGCTTCCTGGCTCAACTCCTAAATAAATGGCTCATCTCAAATCTCTGTCTCAGGGTCTGGATCTGGGAAACCCAAACTCTGTCCTTAAGGATTCCCTGGAGTAGCTTCTCTTGAAGCCATCGAGGCCCACCAAGACGCCTGCTGAGAGACCTGGTCCTGCACCTCAGCCCCCCTAAGTGGGAGGTCTGCGCACGTCCACAGTCCCATCCACTGGGCATCTGAGCTCCTGCTAAGCCGGGGACCTGACCACTCGAAAATGCCAGCACATGTACTTATTGACACTTGGGCAGGCTGCGGCTGCGACTAGTACTGACCAGCCAGCGCGTCGGGGTTAGTAAATGTCTCCTGGTACTGGCATCAGTACTACCATTGCCCAACCATCCTGGGCAGGAGGGACTTTCTCGAGCTCCATTCTACGATGGAGAAACCAAGGCAACAGATCAGAATTCCAACCAGCACTATTTAAATACTGATTTCTTTGGGGAGGTGTTCTTATCTGTCTTCCCTGTTGAAAGCAAGCTCCATAGAAATCGTGTTGTTTTTTTTTCCCCCTTTTTCTGTGTGTCTGTGGATCCCCTGGGGGAAGGGAGCACAGAATCGAGAACCTGGGCGTGTTAGGAAAAGGCTCTACCACTGAGCCATGAACCCAGGCCCTGGATTTTTTTTTTAATATTTAGTTTTTAGTTGGACACAATGCCTTTATTTTATTTATTTACTTTTACGTGGTGCTGAGGATCTAACCCAGGGCCTCGCACATGTTAGGCACGTGCTCTACAGCTGAGCCCCAGCCCCCGCCCCCCCTTCTTTTGTTTAATGGTACTGGGGATTCAATTCAGGGGCACTCGACCACTGAGCAGACAGGGTCTCACTGAGTTGCTTAGTATCTTGCCGTTGCTGAGGCTGGCTTTGAACTTGGCATCCTCCTGCCTCAGCCTTCTGAGCTGCTGGGACCACAGGCAGGTGCCACCCTGCCTGGCCAGCCCCTGGATTTTGGATCTTCTGTTGCAGCTCCAGAGTCAGATAGGACTTGGTGTGCAGTAGGCTCAATAAATGTCATTCGAAGGGAGGATAAGGTCAGGGGTGGAGGGGACAGTAGAGCAGAGGCAGCCCTTCCGGTGGCAAAGCGAGACAGTGGGGAACACTCACCACCTCAAACTTCTTGTCGGGATAGAGGCAGGTCTCTCCTCCAGCCGTGAAGTTGCAGAAAACCCTGAGCGCATCCTGGGCGCATCCCTGGTTGGGGTCAATCCAGTATTCCCCTGCCGCAGAGCCGACGGGGCGGATGAGCGGAGGCAGGGCCCCGAGACCCCCTTGCTTGTTCAGGGAGGGACCGAGAGCTCACCATCTGGCAGGTGCGGGTGGTTGCGGTGCAGCTCGTGGCACACGAGGCCCGGGCGCTCGGCCGTCCCTGGAGGTCGCCGCAACTGCTCCACCTCCACACTCAGCGACTTCAGCGAGGCCAGCACCTCCTCCAGGCCGCCCTCGGGGTCCCCCACGACTGAGCGCCGGCGACGACGCAGCCCATGCAGCTCGGCTGGGGGACCCTGGTGGGGGGGTGAAGGAGAGAAGGGCAGAGATGAAGAGGACAGATGAGGCAGAGAAACGAAGGAGGGAGGGATGGGGAGGAGAGAAGCGGGAGGAGGGGCAGATGAAATAGGGGACCCAGGATGGAGGTGGAGACAGGTAAAGATGGGGAGAGGCAGAGGAAGTTGGGGTGGGCGGGGCACAGCCCAGGGAGACAGGACCCAGGGAGACAGGACCCAGGTCGGAGCCCCCACAAGACCCTCCTGGGACTGTTACAGAACTGCCTTCCCCGCCTGCGTCCCTAACTGAGCTCTGGGGACCTGGACACAGTCCCTGCCCTCCCCATAGGTCTGGGGCACAGCCCTTGCTCCCTGGGGAACTCACCGGGGGGCCTGGGGGACCTGGAGGTCCCCTATCTCCACGGGGACCAAGCGATCCCTGTAGGAAAAAGTCACCTTCAGGTGAACTCCGTCCATGGAGACCCCTTGCCATCAACACACACACATACAGCCCCAGGAGGGACCCACAGTGTTCAGCGCTAAGCATAAGACACACATTTTCTTTCCATATTTTCACATGTCTGAAATCAACATCTTAACGTCTTTGGCAAGCCATAATTTACTCGGCAGAACTGTTTTCTTTCATAGCAGTTTATAAAATAATGGTGCCTCTTACAATTGATGGCATCTTAGATTTGATGAAATATAACAGTAGGTGTTGGATAAATATTTATTGAATGCATGATTGAGTGAATAAATAAATGAATGAACTTGCGGCAAGGAGGGTTCTGGTGAAGTGGAGGGAGGTGGGGAGCTGGGGTGTGGAAGACAAGGGAACAGCGTGTACTCACCGGGGACCCCTTGGAGCCCTTCGGTCCCAGAGGGCCCTGGAAGATAGACACAGAGAGAGCTGGGGTCCTGGCTTCCTGCCATGGTGACCCCACCCCACAAACTCCTCCATACTCACCGCCACGCCTGGGGGTCCAGGGTGGCCCAGAGAGCCAACAGGACCAGGGGACCCCTGCAGAAGGGACATTAGGGTCAGTATTAGTGGGATGCAGCCCTATTGCCCAGATATATTCCCCTTAAGACCAGGAACTTTAGACAAACCTATGATTCCTCCAGGGAGATACCCAGGCACCAAGCACAACCTCTGACCTGCAAGCCCCAATGCATCCTCCACTTTCCCCACACATAACCCTCATCATTCCAGATCTGGCTTCCCCAGACCCCATGCCCATCTCCACACAAGCCCTGACCCCACCCCCCACTTTGAACATATTCTCCCATTCAGGGCAGGACACACACTCACAGGGTCTCCCTGGGGGCCAGGGGGCCCCTGCACGCCTGGCAACCCCCGATCCCCTTTCTCACCGGCCTCCCCAGGGGGACCGATGAGGCCGATTAATCCAATGTGGCCCTGGAGAACAAACAGGGATGAAATAGGGGAGGTGCTGGGAGATCAGAGCCTAGGGGTGATGAGCTCGGAGGAGAGGGCACCCCAACCTCCCAGCCCTCAGGCCAGAAAGGAGGGAGGGGGGGTTGTGTGGAGATGGTGGAGAGAAGGGTCCTTACCTTCTCCCCCTTGAGGCCAGCATCTCCCTTCAGCCCTGGTAGGCCAGAGGGCCCCTGGGAGGAGGCAAGGGTCAGCTGGTCATTCTCAATGTGAAATCTCATGGGTGCTTGGGAAATGGTCTCTAGGGAGACTACCCAGATCTCAAACGGGAACTGCCAGGAAGTGGTTGTGGGTGTGTTGGGCGATGGGGGGCGGGGATGCTGGGAGATAATGAGGGGTTGCTTCATGGATGGCCAGTACGAATGCTCTGTGGTAAGAGTGGGCCGTCAAGATGAGTGGTCGGTACAGACCATTAAGATGGCAGATCAGTGTGGGGAGTCAGTGTAGACGATCAAGATGGATGGTCAGAATAAGATGGTCAGTGTGGGCAGCCAGATGTGGTCAGGGAGGGGTCGGCCTGCACCATAAGCACTGCAGTCACTAGATGGTCCCTGGATGACCAGTGTGGCTCTCAGAGCTGGGGCCTCAGGAACAAAGAAGTCTCTTACCAAGGGGCCTGGAGGACCCATCAGACCCGGGGGTCCCAGGAGGCCTGGTTCACCCTGAGGATGAAACAGAACAGGGGTAGGCTATTCCTGCCAGAACCCAGGATGGACGTGCCCACTGCCCACTGGGGTCGGCGACTCCCAACTTTGATGATTCCAAGGTGGGTGCAAAGCGCCAGGAAGAGCCCAGCCCGCTCCTGCCCGCATCTCTACCACACTCACCACAGGGCCAGGGATCCCGGGAAGACCATCAGGGCCCACACGGCCAGGGGGCCCGCGAGCCCCCACTGGGCCTGTCCTCCCTGGAGGCCCATCGGGACCTGGTTCCCCCTGAAAAGGGCAAGGGGCAAGGCAGAGGCAAGGAGAGTCAGAGGGTGCCGGCCTCCTGACCTCCACCTGAGACTCATCACCGTCCCCTGCCGTTGGCCCGGCCGTTGGGGGCGAGGCCCGACCCTCCTGGGCCAGCACTCACCTTGGAGCCTTTTTCCCCCTCTTGGCCTTCTCGACCCATGCGACCCGAAGGACCCTAAGGAGGGAAAGAGTCGGGAGGGGCCTGTGCGGTCAGTGAGGGCTCGGGGTGACCGGGGACTGCGGGTGGGCGGGGCCAGCCTGGAGCCGGGGCCAGGAGATGGGTTGTCACTCACCCTCTTTCCAGGGGGTCCGGGGGCACCTGGTTCCCCGGAAGCACCCGGCGGCCCCTGTAGAGATGGTAGCGGTGCCAGAGTCATTGTTGGCCGGCGCTGGCTGGGCATGAGCCCAACGTCCCTAGCACCACCCCTCCTCCTCTGCCAGCGCCACCTTCCCTGACCCCCACTCACCGGCCCCCCAACATCACCAGGGTCTCCCTTCTCTCCTGGGGTGCCATCAATGCCCTGTTTGGGTGAGAGGAGGCAGTGGGGGGGTGAGGGAGAGGTCACGGGGTGCGTGAGGATTTTCAGGTGGGGCCTGGAGGGTCGTGAGGGTCATCCCCCCACTGACCTCGGCCAGCTCTGGGGAGAGGGGAGAGATGGGGACAGGAATAGGAACAGGCCAGGCTTGGGGGGAGGGGTTATACCCACCGGAACTCCAGGGTCTCCTGGGGGCCCCAGATCTCCGGGGAGCCCCGTGGGGCCCTGGAACACAGAGTGATTCGTATCACGTCTCTGAATCACGAGGAGCCATTCACTTATTGAGCAGATAAAGCGTCCCGGTTCTGGTTGCTAGGGCCACATCAGTGAACAGGCACAAACCCAGGCCCCGCAGAGGGACATCCCAGGGGTTTAGCGGGTGCAGGCATGAGCTGGGAGTATCCCAGGTGTCATGGCACTTCACCCATAGCCTTGGAATCCAGACTGCCAGGGCTCAGGGGACGGGCCAGCAAGGGTGGCGATGGCGGGGCACAGGTATCCAGAACCTCCTGTCCCCCACCCCAAGCCCCACCAAGATGGAAGACCGGCCTCAACCTTCGAAGGCCCCATGTGGTCCCACAGCCACCTGAACCCTGACTCAGCATCCGCCTTAACCCTGACCTTCCATCACCATTAGAACCACTCAATGTGACGTCAGCCTTTGCTCCACACACTGAGGAGATGACCCTGGCATTTCTGTGTTTCATTCATTCAGTCAGTCTGTCAGCCAGTCATTCAGTCTGTCCGTCATTCAGTCAGTCATTCATTCAGTCAGTCATTCATTCAGTCATCAGCCTGTCAGTTAGACATTCACTCAGCCATTCAGTCAGTTCATTATTCATTCATTCATTCATTCATTCATTCACTCAGTCAGTCATTCATTCAGTCTGTTATTCATTCAGTCAGTCATTCATTCATTCACTCAGTCAGTCATTCATTCAGTCAGTTATTCATTCAGTCATTCATTCATTCAGTCTGTCAGTTATTCATTTATTCAGTCTGTCAGTGAGTTTATCAGTCTTTCTGTCCTTCCTTCCTTCCTTCCTTCCTTCCTTCCGTCTGTCAGTCAGTCAGTCAGTCTGATCAGTAAGTTGGAAGGACCCTGGCCAGCAGCTTAGGAACAGATTTGAGTGGCCTTGAGCGGCCCCTGCCCTCTGCCTCCCTCCCCGGCTCACCGGGTTCCCTTTGGCTCCGTCCTCTCCAGGTGGACCTTTCTTGCCTGGGGGTCCAGCAGCCCCAGATGGACCTGAGTCCCCCTTTTCACCAACTTCACCTTTAGGCCCCTTTGTGGAAACAGAGGTTAGAGGTCAGGTCAGAGGTCAGAGTGGCCCAGACTCTGCTGAGACCAAGGGTTAATATCCTGGGTTTTTCCGCAGTCATAGATCCGACTAGCCCAGCTACCCAGGGGCTAGAGGGCAGAAAACCCTAGGACTTATGTGAGCTAGGGGCATGGCTGGTCCAGTTGCCTGGCCATGGGCAAGTCAGTGTCGGCCATGTGCTGCTTCAGAGTGAATGGGAAAAGGCCCCTCCGGGCAACTCATTCTCAAGTCAGGGCTCAGCCGGGATTTGAACCCCCAGCAGCCCCTCAGCCTGCACTCTTGTGCAGTGTACGACCTGTACAACTCTACACTGGCCCTCTGTGAGACCTTCTAGGGGCTGGGCCTTTCATTAAGATAACCTGGATGTTCATAGCCCAAGGACTGCCCAGGGTGCGAGTGCCACATCACACAGTCACTCACTGGGATGCCTGGAGTTCCTGGGGGTCCTGGGTCTCCGGCATCTCCTGGCTCACCCTGCAGGAGGCAAAGTGAGAGGGGGAGGTCCTGGTCATGGCAGATCGGGAGGGACACCCAGAGCAGTTGCTCACAGCGAGAAGAGGTGATGCCGCCTCCTCCCCTGCTCTCCTCACCTTCTCGCCCACAGCACCTGGCTGACCAACTCCTCCAGGTGGCCCCGGAGGGCCCTGGGGAAACAGCAGAGGGCAGAGGTGAGACGTGGAATCCCGACAGCCGTCCTTGGAAATGGGTGTCCTCCCACCTGAGTCCCCCCAGAGTTCTCACCTCTGAGCCACTGGGACCCTGGGGACCCCTGGGACCTGGAGCTCCATGGGGGCCCTGTGGAAGGACCAGAGAGTGCCCAGTGACTCTCACAGCCCCCCCAAAAGGCTGCAGACACCACCCTTGATTTTGATGACCTGTGTGACCCTTAAAATGACAACGGGCCCTACAACCCCCAAGTGGACCTAAAGGCCACCCCTACCCTTGGGGCCCCTCCCCCGCTTTCCCTGGGGTCCTACCATGGACCCGACGTCTCCAACCTCTCCCTTCTCTCCGGGAGGGCCTGGCAGCCCCTGTGGACCAGAACAGCAAGGTTAGAGAAACACGGCGGGAATCGGAGGTGCACCCCCAAACTCAGACACCCACCTGCAGGCCTGGGGGGCCAATCAGCCCCACAAACCCTCGGACTCCATCATCTCCCTTCTGCCCAAAGAGGCCTGGGGGTCCACGGCGTCCCTGCGCTCCGTCGGCTCCCTGGGAGGACAGAGGCAGGGCACAGGGGCGTCTGGACCAGGTTCAAGGTCAAGGGTCAGGGTTGGGGTTAAGACTTGGAGTCAGGGTTGGAATTAAGATTAGGAAGGATCAGGGTTGGGCGTGGAGTTGGGTTTCAGGTTAAGGCTGAAGTTCAAGGTTTTGAGATGGCCGTAGATGATGAGCCCCGTCTGGAGCCCAGGTTAAAGACAGGGCAGGGTCCAGATGGGATGGGGGTGCGTTTCAGGACTGGGTTTGAGGTTGGGGCCTGCTGTGGTTTGAATGTGCCCCCTCAAAGCTCATGTGTTGGAAGCTTAATCGCCAGGTTCCTGTGTGAATGGGGTTTGGAGACGGGCCCTGGGAAAGTGATCAGGGTTAGATGATGAGGGTTGGCCCATGATGGCCCAGGTTGGCCCACATGATCTGTCTCCCAAGTGCTGCCCTCCGCCAGGTGACGAACAACCCTTCGAAGACTCCAGCCCCAGGCCCTTGGACTTCACAGCTTCCAGAGCCACAAGCCCAGCAAACCTCTGTGGCTGTGTGTAGGGTGCTTGGGATGAAACCCAGGACCCGTGCACGCCACGCCAATGCTCCACCACTGAGCTGCCCTAAACTCTACCCCAGCCCCCAGAACTCTTTTCTTCATAAATTACCAGGTCTCCGTTAGTCAGCAACAGAAAACTGACTGAGACAGGCCAGAGTCCAATTCCAAGTTCAAGTTCAGATCTGGGTTCAGCAGAGGTCGGGGCGGGGGGTGGAGAGTAGGACTAGGCTATGTTTAGTTGGCATTTAAACATCAGGTTTGAGTTTGGATTGAGGTCAAGGTCATGAGCAGGGTTGAGGTTGGGGCTGAGGATGGAGGTGAGTCCACACTGGGTGTTGGCGGCATTGGGGGTAAACAGGGTGGAGACTGGGACTGGGTCCTGCAGAGGGACACTCTCCCTTCCTGTCAGGGGTCACAAAGCTGGGAACACTCACCGGGGGGCCGGGGAGTCCTGCAGGACCCCGTATCCCTGTTGGTCCTGGTGGGCCCTGGGGAAAGGACAGATAGAAAATCCTCTCAGTTCCAGGTTGGAAGGGGGGGGCCTCTGGAAATGTCAATCAACACTTCCCCACCCACCCCCACTTAGAAACTTCCCTCCCCAGGAAGCGACGGCTCCAGTCCCCAACCCTAGGCCCCAGACCATGGGGTCAGGGACAGGTGTCCGCCTAAGCTGGGCCCATCAGGATCTTGGCCTGGGTGTCCCCCGGGGCCCGGGCACAGCTCTGACGCTGGTTACTGGAGCGGAAGTTCTGGGGGAGGCTGGGAACAGAGCGTCCCCAGGCCCAGCAGGGTCACAGCAGAGGGATGCCCACGCCACCAAGGAACAGGAGAGGAGGGGACCCCCGATGCCTTCCCAGCTCCCGCGGCCCTGTCTCCTCATCTGTGGCCCCTTGACCGGGGCAGCTGGGTAGAGGCGTGGACACGGGGCCGGAGGAGGCAGCCCACCCCCCACGCCGGCCTCTCCTCCCCCCTCTGAGGGCCACCCGTCAGTGGGTCCCTACTCACCGCATCTCCCTTGTCGCCTTTGCTCCCCTTGTGACCAGGGGGACCCACTTCTCCCTGCAGAGAAAACAGGGTGAGGGAGGACCCAGCCTCCTCCACCCCAGCCTCCCCGACCGGCCTCTCTGTCCCCCTCACCTTGTCCCCCTCCTCTCCAGCAGGTCCAGCAGCTCCGGGGGGTCCCTGAAGCCCCAGGGGCCCTGGGATCCCATCTTTGCCGGTGGGGCCGGGGGCACCTTGTTCTCCCTGTTGGGGAGAGTGGGGGTCAGGGCCGGCATGTTCCTCGGGAGCCGGGTCCTGAGACGCTGAGGGTTGGTGTGGGCAGGACACTCACCGGGGACCCCTTCTCTCCTGCAGGACCAACCGGGCCTTGCCCTCCACTTTGACCGGGAAGCCCAATACCACCTGACGGGCCCACAGGACCCCGCTCACCGGGAGAGCCCTGCAGACGGGAAGGAGGGTCAGCGGTCACGACAGCAGCAGGCTTTTCACGTCTCCATGCCGGACCTGCTGTCCCCAGCATCATACTAACCTGCTCCCTGCTCACCGCAGCCAAGGGCGCCCTTGGGCACCCAAGTACAGGCACGTCCCTCCTTCCCCATCACCCTCCGTGGCTCCCACCTCCCTCAGAGCAGAGTCCTCCTGGAGGCCCACAAGCCCTGCCCACCTTCCCCTGCCACCTGCCCTCGCTTCCTCTCACTCTTCCCCTCCCGCTCAGCCCAGACACAGGCACCTCCCTGCTGCTCCTCAGCATGTCAGGGATGGTCCTGCCTCAGGGCCTTTGCAGGTACTGTTCCTCCTGCCCGGAACACCCCCCTCCAGAACCCACGGGGCTCCCTGCTCACCTCCTTCAGGTGTCAGCTCAAGTGTCACCTGTCAGGGAGCCCTTCCCTGACCGGCCTGTTTAAGTTGCTGTCCCCTAGACTCCACAAACTCTCCCGTTGGGCCTCATAGCACGTCACTAACTATGCTAGAAGGTCAGCACCAGAGAGGATCCACGCTGCAGGCTGCAGGTGGCATTTGTTGGGTGGCGCCATTGGTTGAGTGTGTTGGCCCCCAGGGTTCATGTGTTAAAACATAATCCCCACTGTGAGGATTAGCAGGGCAGAAACTTAATCTGACTATGGTGTTCAGAGGCGCGACTTTGAAATTATTAGCATTAGATAAAATTCTTAGGATGTAGTCCCCAACTGAATCCTGGTGGCTTTAAAGAAAAGGGAGAGAGACCAAACATACAGACATGCAGTCTCTCTCAACTATCCCAGGACTCTGCCAGCAAGAAGGCCATCGCTAGGTGCAGTCCCTTGACCTTGGACTAGGACTATGAGCCAAAGTGAACCTTTCTTCTTTATAAAGTTTCCCAGCCTCAGGCATGTCATTATAACAATGTAAGACAAACTAATGCAAACAGGTCATGTCATTAAGGCTTATGATTAAAAAAAAAAAGGAAGGTTCTCATCACAGCTCTTTTACATGTAAGGAAACAGGCTCACCAGTGGTACAACTGCCCAGCCAGTGGGTGGCAGCACTGGGTGAGCCCCAGGCCCATCTGACTTCAAAGACAGTAGGCTTAAGCATAACAGTGCCAAGCTTCTGATACCCCGGAGTTCCTCCCACCCCCTTCCCCACCCAGCAAATGTACTTGTACTTACATTGGCCCCAACAGGGCCAGGAGGGCCCTTGTCACCCTTCAGACCAATGGGTCCCTGAGGAAGGAGATGACTCACAGTCAGGAAACCCCAAGGGAAGCCCAGGTCCCATCTCCACTCTGGGGGACGCAGTCACCACCCCCTTCCTGGGACCAAGCGCTGAGTCTGGGGTCCATCTCCTCTGGGTCCCCCAGCCTCCATTCTGTTAGGCTCCCGGCTGCCCCCACCTAGGAGGCCACATCCCTCCCTCGAGCCCCCGCCCTCCTCTGCATCCAGCCAGGCACAAACGGAGCCCCCAAGGAATACTCACGGGGTCCCCAGGGGCGCCTTGGGGGCCAGGGAAGCCTCTGGGCCCGGGTGGCCCCTCCTTCCCAAGAGGTCCCAGGGGTCCGACCTCTCCCTGCAGAGTCCAGGGAGGAGGTCAGGCTCGGGGGTCTCCCCTCTGACTCTGGGCCCCCACGCAGGTGGGTTCAGAGCCCTGAGTGGCCCAGGGGCCACCAGGGGCTCTTGGGGGCCATTCAACACAGATCGCCTGTAATGGGGGTCTCACCTTGGCCCCCTCTCTTCCTTCCAAGCCCGGGAGACCTTGTTCGCCGGGAGGTCCAGGGGGGCCCGGGGGCCCCCGCTCACCCAGAGGCCCCACGTCTCCTGTCTTTCCCTGGAGAGCAAGAGGGTGCATCCTGAATGGGGGTGGCCGCGGGGGCGGTCAGATCCCTGGCTTCCAGCCCACAGTGTCCCCCGACTGGTGCAGTATGTGGGGTCCACTCTGACCTGAGGACCCAGGACACCGGCTGGTCCCGGTGGGCCCGTCAGACCTTGGAAGCCCTGTGGAGAGAAAGAAAATGGAGGTGTCACGTGGGAGGGAGAAAGGGAGGACCTGACAGGTCAGGGGTCAGAGGTCAAGGGGTCACTCACCAGTTCTCCTCTCGGTCCAGGGTGCCCTGGTATCCCGTCTTTCCCCTGGGGGCCCTAGGGAACAAGGCCAGAGAGAGTTGGGGTACAGATGCAAAACCTCTCCCCTCCCCAACCCCCAATCAGGGTGACCTTACTCACAGGCGGGCCCTTTGTCCCAGGGAATCCTGGGGGGCCTTGTAGACCAGGGAGGCCCTGAAATGGAACCAGGAGCCAATATCTCATCATGACTTTAAGAGCCAGCACACAGAGCCGGGCGCAGGGGCTCAAGCCTAGAATCCCAGTGACTTGGGAGGCTGAGTCAGGAGGATCACAAGTTTGAGGCCAACTGAGTAAGGCCCTAAGCAACTTAGCGAGGCCCTGTCTCTTAATAAAATATTAAAAAGGGTTGGGATGTGGCTCAGTGGTTAAGCGCTCTGGTTCAATCCCCGGTACCAAAAACAAAAACCAGGAGCGGGCACTTAGGGAGCGCCTTCTGCATGCCAGGCTCAGGCTGAGCACTCTCCCAGCTAAGTCATCCCACTCGGCACCACAGCCCACCTGGGGGAGGGGAGGCTGTGGCCATTCCCATTTCACAAAGGGGGAAATCAAGGCACAGAGAAGTTAAGACACTTGCCCAAGGTCACACAGTTGGCTAGCGGCAGAGCTGGCATGTGAACTCATGGCCCTCTCCTGACTTTGAGACTGCGCTCTTTCCAGTGTATTTTAATGTCCCTCCACCCCAGAGTTTGTCCCCTGCTCAGTGCTGGCAGCTGATGATTGGCTCACAGCGGCCCCAGCAACATCTAGCTGATTGACTCCTCTGCGGTGATGCTCATTGGGCTGTTTCCCTGCCCTTTCAGACCACGGAGCTGCTCATTGGGGGACTTTTTTGGCTCCGCCCACGTGACCCAGCCAATCGGCCTCAAGAGCAGGAGGATTGTGGGAGGTGGGGAGAAGCTTGTGTGGGAGAGAGAGGCTTGGGGAAAGCCGGTGGTGGCAGTTGAGGCTCTGAGGGTTTTTCCTGAGAGGCTGTTTTGTTTGGCGTGTGTGGTTCTAAAAATAAAGTTAGTTTCTTTTGACAAGTGGCTCCTGATTGTGCCCAGCCAGACTGCGGCAGCTCAGAATCTCTCTCTCTCTCTCTCACACACACACACACACACTCACCTTCTCTCCGGGGATCCCAGGGGACCCGTCCTGGCCCACATCACCCTAGGACAGAGTGAATGAGGCTCAGACCCCAGAACAAGCTCAACTGGGGAGGGCCAGTGGGGGGTGACCCGAGGATGGGGAAGTGAGGGGAGCCTTGGTCCCATACCTTGGGGCCTGGCTGCCCTGTGGCGCCTGGTTGCCCCCTCTCCCCACGGGAGCCCTGCACAGAGGAAAGCAAAGAAGTGAGAGGTGGAGGAGCCGGACTGCCCAGCGCCCCCAGGACCCTCCTGTCCCCTCAAGGCCTCCCCCACCCTCTCCCACCTCCTCCGCCCAGCCCTGTCTCCCCCCCAGTAGTGGGGGCACCGCACACTCACTGGGGGTCCCCGCTCTCCTTCCTCTCCTGGCTGCCCGGCCTTCCCCTGAGAAGTCAACGGGTGAGGCAAGCAGAGAGGGTCAGGGGACAGAGGGACACCACTGACGGGCCACACCCAGACACGCCTGCCGCACGCTCACAGCCTCCCGCACACACAGCTTGGGAGATCACGGCCACCCACCCCGGGGTCTGATGGCACCTACGGGGTCCAAGCACACCACCACCTGCGCCCGCGTGGACACCGCTGTCACGCGGGACACCGCCACAGGTGGCCACACACACCCCGCGTAAACACGCACACCCAGACTCCCTGAGGACACGTCCTGGTCAACAGCCCAGTCGCCCACACCCCGCGTGCACCCACCCCCCACCGCACACACGGTGTGCACAGGAGCAGGCGCACGTGCGTGTATCCACACCCTTTTGCACACGCGCATGTGCACAGTCACACCATGCACGTGTGGCACCAGCACAGGGGCCGCAGCACACACCCACCTGGGCGGCGCGGGAGGCGCGGGAGGCAGGCAGCACCAGGGTCACCACCCACGCCCTGCCTTGAGCACAAATGCTTCCAACACAGACGCAGCCCAGCACCGCCCGCCACCCTGCCCTTCAGCTGGCCCTTCCCTGTCCACCCCCTGGATCACCACTCACCCGCTTCCCTTTCTCTCCTAATGGTCCCAGGGGCCCCGGAAATCCAATAGATCCCTGAATGGAGAGAGCACAGAAGTGAGAGGGGGTAAGCAGGGCCTGGTCGGCGGAATCAACCTTTCTGGGCCACTGACTCCAGTGGCTTCCTTGGGTCCCTCCAGCCACAGCACCCTCCAAGGCAGCCCTCTGCCCCCCTCTCCTCCCTTCCCCCTTCTCAATCCGCTGAAGACACTGGCCTCCCCCATGTTGCTTAGGCACTTCTGTGCATGTTCCTGCCTCAGGGCCTCAGGGCCTTTGCACAGACTGCTCCCTTTGCCTAAAATGCTCCTCTCCCAGGCCCAGAAAGCCAGGTACTCCTCATCGTTTGGATCTCAGGCGACCTTTCGTTTATTTATTTTAGTTGTAGATGGACTCCATGCCTTTACTTGTTTTTCTGTGGTGCTAGGATTGACCTCAGTGCCTCACCCTTGCAAGGTAAGTGCTCTACCACTGAGCTACAACTCCAGCCCTCAGATGCCCTTTTGCCACCCTCCTGACCACCACCTCCTACAAGTCACCCTGGGCCTGTCACCTGTTGCATTTTCCCTGGGACACTGGATTGAAATGACTTCATTCACTTTCTTACTTATCCCATGTCTGTTTCCCAGACTTGACTCACAGGCCTTCCCGACTGTGTGGCACATGGTGAGTGCCATTCAGCATCTGCTAATGGCATGTCATCTGCCAGTCGTGTGTCCCAAGCCTCTTGGAAGGACCCTGCCTCCCCAGGGGGGAAATATCCCCAGGTTCTGCTGCCCCCCCCACCCGCCACCGCTGTGCAGCTGAGTCCAGACCAGGACAGACACCTGCCCAAGTTGCACAGCAAGTGTGTGGTGCTCTCCGGCTCCAATCCCACCCCAGGGCCACCCTGTCCTTCCCCACAGGACCACATGATGGGTCCCTAAATGCTTCAAGAGTCCTGCCCACAGGATTTGTCAAAATCTTAGCTTCTCACTGGTGAATCAGCTTCTTACCAGGCCTGCCTGACAGGATGCCACTTCCACTACGGGTCAGAACGCCCCTCTCCTACACGGACGCTGCGACAGACGCTCGCCGAGAACTTTGTCTGCATCCTTGACCTTCCATCATTTGGTCTGAGTCTGATCCCAGATCCACCCCTCCCCAGCTGTGTGGCTCTGGACAAGGGGCTTCGTCTCTCTGACCATCCGTTTCCTTGTCTGTCACCTGGAGACACCGACAGTGCCCTCCTCACAAGGTTTGGGAGAGGATTCAGTAGAATCCTTCACAGAATGAGCGTCACGTCACATTTGGCACCTAGTAAGTGCTCAAGAAACAGCTGCCTGCTATGGTTTTGATGAGTGTCCCTCAAGGACCCATGTGCTCAGGGCTTGGTCCCTGAGGTGGGCTCTTGGGAGGTGGTGAACTTTAACAGGTAGAGCCTAGAGGGAGGTCCTTAGGTCACTGTGGACGTGCCTTTGAAGAGGATGGGCACCCTGATCTGCCCCTCCCCCTCCCACCCCACCCCACTTGCTGGCTCACGAGGGCAGCGATTTTCTCCAGTCTGCTCTCCTGCCATTGCCATCAGTTTCCCTACCAGAGACCCCAAGAAATGGGGCCACTTGATCATGGACTGGAAACTTGGGAGCTAAACAAACTTATTGCAGGCGTGGCTTGATCGTAACATGAGGCTGGCTGGTGTCCTGCCCTCGTTATTTATGATGACTTTATTGACCTGGTCTTAACCGTCGTGTCCTGACTGCTGGGAAACGCATTGCTCAACAGCCAGTAAAACCTCCACTGGAATCTGCTGCGCTGCTGCCCTCGAATCCCCACGAACTTCTCATTGCAGAGGTTTAGTTCTAAGGTGACCGTGGTGTCTTGAATCTGCCCCCAAGCCCCTTTAGGTCCTCTGTGCTTGCCCCCCAGGTCATGCAATTCGATGGAGATGTGTGAGAACGGATGGGCTATTGTAGGAAAAGAAGGATGTCCGTCAAAACTGAGTCGAGCAGAAAAGACGCACCCTGACGGAAAGTCACAGGCATACACACAAGGTGCTGTCCCAGTAAGTAGGTGTCGGTCAGATCTCTGCATCAGCTCCAGAGGGCGAAAAGGGGAGACTCTGCAAGAACCCTGCACTCAGATTTGTCTGGAGTGTCTTTAAGATCCCGATGTACTTTATGTAAACAGAAATGATGAGTCGCCCATGATGTAACACGGGCGTGGTGCAGGCAGAAAGATAAACCTCCTTGTGTGCTCATCCATCAAGACGTTGGCAAAGAAATGTACGTTTTTACATAAGTACATTTTGTATAAGTACGTTTTATCATGTCCAAATAAATCCAAGATATGTAATATCTGAATTATGTACGATTACCCCCTGTGGGAGGTGAATGTGGTCTGTCCCCCACGGGCTCTTGGGATAGAGGCTTTGTGGTCAGTGTGGTCGTAGTGAGGTGGTGGATTTTTTTTTTTTTTTTTTTTTAATGTTTATTTTTTAGTTGTAGTTAGACACAATATCTTTGTTTTATTTATTTATATGTGGTGCTGAGGATTGAACCCAGGGCCTCACACGTGCTAGGTGAGTGCTCTACCGCTGAGCCACAACCCCAGCCCCGGTGGTGGATTCTTTAAGAGGCGGGGCCTAGAGGGAGGTCTTTAGTCACTGGGATTAATGGGAAGGGATTAATGCAGTTCTCTTGGGAGCCCAGCTAGTTCCCACAAGAGGGTTGTTATAAAAGAGTAAGACTGGCCCCTCACCTGCCCCTCTCTCTCTGTCTCTCTCTCTGGGTTCCTGTCTTGCCACGGCATCTCTTCCTCTTGCATGCATTCCTGCCATGATGCCATATACCAGGAAGGGATATAGCCAGGAAAGCCCTCACCAAAGGCTAAACTAATGGGGCAAACTGATCTTGGACTTGCAGCCTCCAAAACTGTGAGCTAAACCTCTTTGCTTTACAAAGTAGCAAGCTTCAAGTGTTTTGTTACAACCACAGAAGACAGACTCATACATCCCCCTTCATGAACTTGGCTGATGAGCCAAATCTGATTACACAAATAAGGATCACATAGTTTTATCATCATCATCAAACTGATGAGGATAATACTACTGGTATCTCTCTATTTTGCAGCTGAAAAAAAATGGGCTCAATTGTGTCCATATGTGAAAATGTCACAACAAATCCCACTATTATGTACAACTATAATGTACCAATAAAAAATATTAAAAGAAAAAAAAAATGGGCTCAAAATATTTGCTTAAGGTTGTATAGCTGATAAGGAGTGAGCGTTTGATCCTAACTCCATTGGATGCCAAAGCCCATGTTTTATACTCTCTCAGTGGCTCATGAGGTCGACAGCCCCACCACTCAGACCACAACCTGGGCCCCCATATATTAGTCCCTGACCCCTGATCCTCCCAACCCCCAGCTCCCTGGCTTCTTACCTTAGGTCCTGGGCGTCCTGGGTAACCTGGGAGACCTGGCACCCCAAGCTTGCCCTGCAGAGAGAGTCAGGACAAAGGTCAGATTCCTCACCTGTAAAAGGGGGGTCAATGCCTATTGCACGTGGTGACTGTGGGTCTGGAATAAGATGTGCGTGGACCTGCTCAGATGCTGAGCTGTGGAACCGAGGGGGTGACAATGAGATAGAAACATCCTGTGGTCAGAGATCAAAGAGGCTGGGGGTGTGGCAGCGTGGAGTGCCTATCTAGCGTCCCTGAAATAGGGGACAGTAGCAAAGGGCTGGGGAGAGAGAACAGAAAGGGACCAACATTTATTCACCTTCTCCCCCGCTGCCCCTGGGGGGCCCTCCTCTCCCTCCAGACCCTCTGGCCCCTTTGGCCCCTCCGGACCATCCTCTCCCCGGGGACCTGGTGGTCCTGGGTGCCCCTGGAACAGAAAGAAGAGGCACTGAGTTAGACTTCTGCTCTTCCTGCCCCTCAAGCCCCACCTTAGCCCCAGCTCACCCTCTCTGTCTCCCCAAAGCCCAAAGCCCCCCAGACCCACCCAACCCCTCATCAGGAGCTTGTCTTACCCGATCACCTTTGGGCCCTGCATCACCCTTAAATCCAGGGAAACCGTCCTCTCCCTGGGTGAGAGAGAGACAGAGGTCAGAAGGCAGGGCCTCGGGGACGGACACAGCCAGGGCCCCATTATGGGGGCTCCCCCCTCCAAGGGTCTCGTCCCTCTCACCCTCTCGCCTTTCTCTCCTTGGAGGCCCCGGTTCCCAGAGGTACCCTGAAAAACAAAGGAAGAAGCTCTCAGGTGCTCCTCTGCTTCAGAGAGCCCCGGGCTCATCCCCCTGCCCTGGAACAACCAGAAGGAGGCTGGGACAAGAGGGCAGGGGACAGCCGTGGAGGAAATGATCTCTCCCCAGAGCCTACAGGGTGCATCCCCTTCCCCCTCAGCCACTGGCGGCCTCCCCAGGCCTTCCATGTGGGGTGCACAGGGAAGGCCAGATCTCCAAGTAAATTGATTCCCATTTCCCAGGGACACTGTGTCCACAGCTCCTTCTGGCAGGAGGAAGATGAACATTCCAGACTCCGGGCTCATTCTGAAGGCAGAGGAATGTTCCCCATTGTGCTGGCGGTGAGGAGGCCATGCTTGGTGACAGGGAGACTGCTCAGTGCAAGCCGGGAGGCCAGCTCCCTGCAAACTCTGGGAATTGCATCTGGCTGCAATAGAGCTGTGAGCTCAGAGGCTACCATGAACTTACACTTGGATACAATGCAACTGTGTTTGGAAATAGCAAGACTAGCTCCAGCCCCAGAGTAATTAACTTGACCACAGTGTAACTAAACTTGGCTACAATTGTTCTCTGGCCTGGGCTACAATGTAACTAGATTCAGCTACAACACAGGCCCAACCACAGTTGTTCCTCTTTATCTACAGGGCATTCACCCAAGGGCCCCAGCGGTTGCTGGAAACCACCGAAAGGACTGAGCCCTGCATATATTATGTTTTTCTTCCACCTCTCTGTATACATACTTATAATAAAATTTGACTTCTAAATTAGTCACAGAAAGATATTAACAACAGTGACTAATAATAAAAGAGAACAATTATAATGATAAACTGTTATAATTAATCATTTTATAGCAATTATAACAGTATACGCCCCCAAACATATCTCATTGTACTTTCACCTTTTCAATTAAAGAAAGCACTTTACAGCTTCTCATTGGCATATCTGAAATGCCAGCGTGAACACTCTTGCACTCTGGGGCCATTATTAAGTGAAATAAGGGTTACTTGAACAAATGCACTGTGATACTGTGAAAGCCAATCTGACAGCCAAGACAGCTACTAAGTGACAAATGAGGAGGTAGTTTATACTGCGTGGATACTCTGCATAAAGGGACAATTCCCGTACTGGGAGAGAGAAAGCAGAATGGCTCACCATTTCACCACACTCCTCAGAATGGCATGCAATTTAAAACTTATGTTGTTTCTTTCTGGAATTTTCTACTTAATAGTTTCAGGCTGAGGTTGACCACGAGTACCAGAAATCTTGGAAAGGGAAACGGTGGATAAAAGAGACTCCTGTGTATGCAACTGTTCCTCGACATCACTGGGCTTACAGAATGCTCAGATCCAAACCCATTCCCACTCCATCATGTGTGGCCCATTGGTGCCTCTCTAGGCACAGCCAGAAGTTTCACCTACCTTCACGCCGCGGCCTCCTGGATAGCCTGGAGGGCCTGCCGATCCTGGGGGACCCTGAGAGGAAGAGAAGGCCAATGTCACCCTGTTCCACCCGCTCTGTGTGTCCAGTGCCATGGCTCTCCTCACTGACCCCAGACTCCTGGAACCTGTCTGTCAACCCTCCTCCCCCAAACCAGCCTCCTCCTGGCCACTCACCTGGGCCCCTTTCTCTCCTGTGGGACCCTCATGGCCTGGGTGACCCTGAGGAAGAAACACGCTAAGTCATCAAAGACCAAAATTTGCCAGCCTGTCCCTTATCCTTCCTCCCTGCCCCAGCCCCTGATTCTCACCGGAGGGCCATCAGCTCCTGGGAGACCTGGAATTCCTGGATTTCCAGGGGGACCCTGAAAGAAGACCAATGTAGAGGGAGACAGGGGGCAGGGCCCAGAGTCCTGCAGCAGGGTTTTTCTATGCAGACAGGCAGCTGCCTCCAGGTGAGCAAAAAAGGGGTGCCTCTGGCCAGGAAATCTACCCCAGCTCTGCCCAAACTTGCTGGCTGACCCTGGGTGAGCCCCTTGCTCTCCTTGAGTATGGGAAGCCCTCCTCATCTAGCCAGCTGCAGTGATGCATGTGTAATCCCAGCTACTCCAGAGGCTGAGGCAGGAGGATCGTAAGTTCAAGGCCAGGTGGGGCCATATATATATATATATATATATATATATATATATGAATTTACATATTTAAAAAAGGAAAAAACATCCTCTTCCCCTGAGAGCCTAGAGAGAAGGGATATAAACCAGCAGGGGAAGCTAGGGATGGGGCCCAGAGTTAAAAGAGCATTTGCTTAGCCCACAGGAGGCCCTGGGTTCCAAGCTGAGCACAAAACAAAGCGACAGTGAAAGAGATGCTGTTGGGTAGGGTGGCGGTTTTCCCAGCCACACCCCTTTCTTTAAGAGTGTCCCCCACCCCGAGCTCCATCTGCAGAAGGGTGGGTCTAGGCAGGCATGAGGTAACCTCCTGGTCCTGCAAGCATTTACCAGGTCCAAAGACGGACCACTGGGCCCATCTGAGCCAATCCACTTCTCTTCAGAAATTGAGAGGCAAGAGACAGAACCATGATGGATGGCCTGGCTTTAGGTGGAGATCTAAGGTCATGGGGAGCTGGAGCCAGAAATGGTCACACCACAGCTGAGGATTGTGCAGAAATAGCAGTTGGCAGGGGGTGGGGACAAACAGACATGTGCAGAAAGCAGCCTGTCTGCCAGGGGACACGGGCACAGATGTGCCAGAAACAAGGAGAAGAACGCGGGCCCTGGGAAGGGGCTACTGTGCCTGTGCGTCTTAGAAACCCCCTCTGTTTAAGGCTTCTGTGGGGTCCTCTGTATCCTCACAATGCCCCCTTATGTGGTGTGGCCTTGGTGGTTTCCGTTTCTCACAGCGGCTTTCCCCACAATGATACTTTGTACCTCTCGGCTGACTTAGGGAATGTGGCCATTCATCACTAGCCCCGGCTGACAGAGGGGCCCTGGTGCAAGGATTTTCCTGACCACAGAGTTGGCGGAGAATGACATGAGGAGGTGGTGATGGGTAGAGTGGTCACTCACCTTCTCCCCAGGAGTGCCGATGGGCCCCTGGGGGCCGGGAATTCCCTAGAAACATAAAGGGAGGGGTGAGGCTTGAGAACAAAGCAGTGAGTGCAGAGGCTGGGGAGGCTGGGGAGGCTGGGGAGGCTGGGAGGCTGGGAGATGTCCAAGGTCTAAGTTCCAACCTGGGACCCATGGTTCCCCTGCTGTCCTGGAGGACCTGGTTCTCCTGGAGGACCCTGTGGAGAGAATGAGGGTTCACTGACACCGGGTCATGGCCTTGAGGGTCAGCAAGGCGGACATGAGGGGTCACAGGGGCAGACAAGGATATGACGATTGTGAGCTCAGGGTGTGGAAAGGGCCAAGGCTCAGATGGCAGGACACTTACCACATTGCCTTTGGCACCCGGAGCACCATCACTTCCGGTGACACCCTGGAGAAAGAGAGGATGTGAGACCAGGCCCGGGGACAAGCCAGGCACCTGAGAGGAAGACACTGAGAGGTACAGGCGGAAAGGAAAAGCAGAGACAGCTCCCAGGCCACGGAAACGGACATGCACAGGGGACAGGTAAGAAAAGGCAGGAACGCCAAGGGGTGACGACATTCTCACCGGGCGTCCCAGGGGGCCGGGGGAGCCCCTGGGGCCAATCAGTCCACGGGGTCCCTGAAAGAAAGAGCAGTATTACCCCAGCACCACCCTGCGGTCCTGGGAGTCCAGGGGTGTGGGCAGGAATCTGGGGGCCCTAGGACTTCCCACTCTCTCCCCTGCCCCGAGCGAGCGGGGTCAGGGCTCCCTGATACTTACTGGCTCTCCAGCCTGGCCAGTGGGCCCTGGGGGTCCCTCTGCTCCCTGTGGGAAAGGCCGTTATTGGGAGAGGGGGAAGCCCAACTCTGGAGCAGCACCTCCCCTCATCTGGGCAGCCCCAGGGGGTCAGCCCCAGGGATCTAGGTTGTACTGAGATCCCTGGATCCCACAGTCTGAGGCACGGATGCTCCTCAGGCTCCTGACTCCAGGTCTAGGTGTGTCCACCCAAGTCCACCTGCTGATCCCCGAGCTCGCGCTCCCACTGTCATATTTGAGATGCCCCCACCCCCACCCCAGGGCTCCCTGATGCTCCAGGGCAGAGCCCACTCCCCACCCAGCTCTCCAAGGCCCTCCTCCCTGCCGACCGTCACCCAGACTCTCCTCCAAGCACCCTGCAAACTTACCTTCTCACCATCCTCCCCTGGGGGGCCAGGTTGTCCCACACGGCCAAAGTCACCCTGGAGTGGGGGACAGAGGGGAGGGTGGAATAATGCAGGGGAGACACCCCCCCCCAGGAAAGGAGGGGGGCATGAGGTGTGAGGACTCAGGCACCAGGTCAAGGCTCTGGTGCTCAGGAAGGAAAGGAGAGCGGCAATGTTGGGAAGGGGGCTTGGCTGTGGGGAGACTCGCACACTCACCCTTTGGCCCTTCTCACCAGGCAGCCCTGGCAGGCCATCAAAGCCCCGATCACCCTGTCCAAAGAAACGCCAGCTGAGCCTGGGTCCTTGATCCTGACAGCGCCCGCCTCCCGACCGGGCCCTGGGCCTACCTTAGGTCCTGTGTCTCCCGGGAGACCGCGGGCCCCATCTGCTCCAGGGCGGCCCTAGGAGGAAAGTGAGCCCCAGTGTCAGGGATAAACCTCCCCAGGACCCTTCCCCAAATTAGGAACTCGACTACATTCTCGTCCACATCATCAAGAGATCTGCCATCATTTCTGGACTCTTGGCTGGGGTCTTCTTTTGTACCAATTTCAATCTCAAATCCAGCCATAACTCTTTATCCCCAGCCCCCTAATTCTAGCCCAAGTCACCATCATCATCAACATTGAGAACTCCCATTGCAGCCTCCATGATCGCCCTGCTGTGGTCCTCCCGGCTTTCACACATACTGTTCCTTCTGCCCGGAACGCTCTTCCCTGCCAGTTTCCTGGTTCCACTTTAGACCTCGGGTGGAGGGTTACTCCTGTCCCAACGTCCTCCCTGACTCTACGACCTTGGCCCGACTCCTGAGCCACACGCTCAGGACAGCTTCCATTGCCAGCCTCAGGGCACCAGCGGACCCTGGAGGCACAGAGCCCCGGTGCCTGTTGGGTAATGAGGGAAGGCCAAAAGGTAGCTTGGGGACCTGGAAGGTGCTCACCATTTTGCCCTCTCGACCAGGTGGCCCAGGAGGCCCCTGCAGTCCTCGGGGACCCTAGAAGCAAAAGAAAAGATGGAACATGGAAGGAAGGACAAAAAGAAGGGAGGACTTATTTTAAATCACTCACCAGGGAAGGCAGTAACTGCAAACCCCGGCCCCGTGACATTTTCCCCGGTGGTCACTTTAACCTGTGGCCTTGGGAGAAGACCCCTCCCCTCCAAACTCACCTGTGGCCCCACTTCTCCCGCTTCTCCTTTCAGACCTGGGTATCCAGGGAGACCCTTCGGGAAGGAGAGACGGGGTAAGTGGTTGGAGGAATGTGACCCCTCTCCACGGCTGTTGCCCCTCTTCTCTGCAGACCCCTTACTCACCACAGGGCCTGGGCGTCCAGTGAGCCCCACTGGGCCGGGGGGACCTTTCATGGACAGCTGGAGAGATAAAGGACAACAGAACCAAGAGTTTCCCCCCAAGACCCCCAAACAAGATCCCCTCAAAGGCACTACTACAGTTCGAACGTGTCCCCCAGAAGTTCATGTGTTAGAATTGATCCTCAATTTATATACTAATGGTATTTAGAGGTGGGACCTTTGAGACATGATTGGGAGTAAATGAGGTCATGATTGTGGGATTGCATAATGACATTAGTGGCTTTATAAGGAGAGGAAGAGGCCCTAGCTGGCACACTTGCTCTGTCCTGCCGTGTGATGCCCTCCGCTGCGTTATAACACAGCAAGAAGGTCCCCACCAGATGCTGAGCAGGTGCCAGCATCATATTTTTGGATTTCCCAACCTCCAGAACTATGACCCCAATACACTTCTTTATAAATTACCCAGTCTTGGGTATTTTGTTATAGCAACAGAAGACCAACCAAGACATGCATCTCAGGAAACAGACACTGCCACCCTGTCTCCTGGCCAGACCTTCATTATCCCTCATTTCTGCCATCTCTCCCATGAACACTCCCCCATCCCACTCACCTGAGTCTGTTGCAATACCGCCTGAGCCTGGGCCTGCTGGAAGGACACTGGGGGTCCTTTGAGGGAGCTGCTCGCGAACTGGAACTAAGGAGCAATGATGGTGAGGGCAGTTCCCAGCAGAGGCCTCCTCCGTGGTCAGGGTTCTCCTCCCCAAGGCTGTGCCACCCCACCTCCTTACCGGCATCATGATGACAGTGCCCGGTGGGCCCCGGATCCCATCGATGCCAGGAATTCCCGGGAGGCCAGCAGGGCCCTAAGAGAGGGCACCAGAGAAAGATGGACGGAGGCAGGAAGAGACAGAGACAAAGACAGAGAAAGGGAGACAGAGAAGATGAAGGATGGGGAAGAGAGAGAGAGAGAGACAGAGACAAAGATATAGGGAGAGAGACACACAGAAGACATGCAAAAATAGAGGCCCAGGGAGAAAAGCAGGGGACTGGCCCCCAGAAGCAGAAGAAGGGCCAGTTTTATCACAGATGGAGAGAGAGATCAGCAGAAGATCACCAACTCCAGATGGCGTCTCCAGGCCCAGCCCCTGAGACCCACATTCAAACCACCAGGTTCCCAACCTGGAAGCTCACGCACTGAAGAGAGACAGTCTCTTACCGGTAGGCCGCGGTCCCCAGGGAATCCTGGGGGGCCAGGAGGGCCTGATGGGCCAACCACCCCCTGTTGGGGAGGGAGAAACAGAAGTCACCGGAAATGCAAAGCTAATCTGAATTCCAACCCTCCTGGCCCCCGACCCCAGGCTGACCTCTGCTCTACCTCCTAGCCATTCCTGCTACCCTCTTCAATATTGATCCATATCAACCCCCAATTTTGTGTCCCAACCCTTCTTTTGACGTGTCCTTTGTGCCTCCAATGTCCAGTGGCCACTACATGATCAGGCAACACGTCACCCCACTTTGGGACTGGAACAGCCCCGCTACAAAGATAGCAAGAGGCCGTGAAGCCCGTACTCACTCGGGGTCCTGGGGCTCCTGGAGGTCCCTCAAATTTTTGCCCCTGGAGAGAGAGAGAGGTGTGTGACCCCTGTTCTAGTGGCCCCCTCAGCCCCTTGCTGCCCCACCGTCCTCACCTGCTCTATCACTGCAGGTTCTCCTTTTGCACCCTTCTCTCCCACACCCTGGAGAGGAGGAAGAGAGGAAAAAGAGGTGAGCCCACTCCCTGTCCCCCAAACACACAGGGCCCACCCACAGAGCATAGGCTGAGACGTTCAGTCCCCTCCGTCAACCTGACAAAGCTGCATGAAGGTCAAGGGCACAAACTCCTGAGCGTCCTAACTTGGATCGGCCTCTTGCCTCTTACGAAGTGACACTGGGAACTTACTAGACCCCTTTGGCCAGTTACAGATCACTGGGTCACCTGTAAAGTCAGCGGGTGAATGACCGCTGCATCTCTCCCACGTAAAGATGAATGATGAACACAGTACTTGGTGCAGGGCTGGTAACCACTCTGCCCCTTCCTGTGCCCAACACCAAGGCTAGAATCTGGGTCCCCAGCTCTGTCTGCATTTTTTTCTTAGGTAATTTCATTCCAATATCTTGGTTAAAGATACCATCTCTCTGCTGAGGCATCCCAAGTCTTTCTCTCCAGCCTAGACAGTCTCCACTGAACTCCAGAATTTTCTTGCCATCCCCCTTTTAACATGACCATTGGATGTCACCCAGGTGTTGGCAATTCGAGACATGAAGACTGACAGCCTTGATTCTCCACTCCCCTGTCAGAAGGCTAGAGGACACCCCCTATTCAATAGTCCTATTGGCATATCTACCTTTCTCCACTCCAGCAGCAAGGCCAAAATGGAGCCTATCCCAAATCTGGCTCCTGTCTTGCCTGGACCACAGGCTTCTTCTGCCTCTCTGGCTCCCCCTACTGTCCGTGTGCCATTGAGCAGAGGGAGATTGCTTTGAGACCTCAAAGTCAGACGTTCCCTTTCAAGGGGTTTCTCATCCGCTTAGTCTGAAAGCCCAGTGCCTCACCCTATCGGCGGAGTCATCTGTTAACACAGTCCCTGTCACACTGTAGGCACTGGGGTCTGCACTGCACTGGGTCGTGGGAAGGCATTCAAAGCAAGACAAACAGAATCCAGAGAAAGAATGAGGCCCCTGGGGCTCCAGATAGGAGTCCCTTCCCCTGCACCTAACCAGACCCCCCATGGCCCCAGACTCACAGGAAAGATCTGGAACTCAGCCTGTGAAGGCTGTTCTGCTGCCCGGAACTTAGGACCCATGGTGGGGCCGCTTCCTTCTTCTTCCTCCCTCTCTCCTTCAAGCTCTGGAGTCTCTAGCTGGGTTCCACCTTCAGCATCCAGTCCCCCCTGAGGACATTGGGACAGTCAAAGTTTGTCCCTGGCCTCCTTATTGTCTGCCGCCACCACCACTACCCCAGGGCCCACCCCTTCCAGCACCGTCCACTTCCCACCGACCTCCAGGAGGGTGACGTTGCCGCCCACAGTCACAGTGGTGGTGAAGACCAAAGGCGTGGGAGTTGGAGTCAGAGTTGGAACTGGCGTCTCAATCTTGGGGACATCCATAGAGGTCTGGAGCAGGCATGGAGGAAGGGTCAGGTCTGGGGTCAGGCCGGTTGTAACAGAAGGGAAGCAAAGGAGGAGCCAGGCCTTGACCTCAGGGAGCTCTCATTCTGGGGAGGGGAACACAGGAGGAGGCCCTGGGGTCTGGATCAGGACGGCCAGCAGGGGGAGCCATCCTGCATAGAGGAGGAGCAGGGCTGAGCCAGGTTCAGAGGCCAGAGAGGCAGAACCAGGCTGGCTCCAGAGCTCAGGGGTCAAGGTCAAGGTCCAGGACTCAGGGCCAGACTCCGGAAGCCTATCCCACATGTCCTCTCCCAAGGCAGAACTCAGCAGTCAGCCAGCTCCTTCTGGCCTCGACAGCTGCACAAGAACTGGGTCAAGGCAGAGGAAGAGGGCAGTCGGGGCCCAAGTGAGGGGCTGGGGCTGAGGATGTGGCGGGGAAGGGGCATACTATTCATGGTATCCCTGTTCAGAGCCAGAAAGGTTGGAACTGAGATGTGATTCAACCAGTGACCCTTTGACTAAAGTCCCCAGTGACCTGTGCCAAGGACCTCTACTCAGTGACCCACCAGCTAATGACCTCCAGCAATGGACCCCAATTACTCCTACAGCCAGTGACCTTCCCAGAGACCCCCAGCCAGGGATATCCCCCAACAATAAGCACTAATTAGTGCCTCCCCTACCTAATCAACTCTCCCAGTGACCTTTAATCAATCATTCCTCCAACCAGTGATCCTCCAACATGGAGTGCTTGCCCAACGAATGCTCCCCAACCAAGGATCCTGAACACTAATTCCTGATAACCCATCAGAGATCCCGAACTATGACCCCATCCATGATCCCCTGAAAATCACCCCTACAACCATGACCCCAATGGGTGACCCCACTATGCATTCTAGTGACCCCCCCCCAACAAAACCCCCAAACTAATGACCCCTAACCATTAACCTTAAACAAGGGACACCAAAAATATCATCAATGACCTCCATTAATGTCTTCCTACAGTGGCCCCCAACTGGGATCATCCCAAATATTGGCCCTCTTCAGTGCCCCTCCTGACCAGCACTCCAGGGAAGCCAAGTAGTACCCCGATCAGGAACTGCCCCAAGGAATAGTCTTCACCAATGACCCCTGTCAGTGAACCCCACTCCCCCAAAACGACACACTAACCAATGAACCCGTCATGATTCACCCCAGCTGGTGACTCCCCTAAATAGTAGCCCTCATCAAAAACCCCCCTAATAATCAGGTGGTCATCTGGAGGAGACCCCAGGACTGGAGGTTGGGGAGCAGGCCTAGGAAAGCCCATAAGACAGGGTCCCCCTACCCCAGATGGTCATCAGCTGGCGGTCAGCTAAGGGGAGTGGGAGCTCAGGTCTAAGCCTGGATTCCAAACCAGGGCCAGAGGAGGGAATCGGAGGCCAGAGACGGGCAGCAGAGGCCGAAGGGCAAGTGCAGGCCCCTTACCTGGTTCTCCAGAGAGCCGGCAGGTGCTCCCAGGGTCAGGGCTTCCTTGTCCTTCTTCTTCCTGCCCTTCCCCTTGCGGCCTCGCCCTTTCTTCTTCCCTTTCCCCTTGCCCTTGCGCCGAGGAGGGGTGGTCTCTGGCTCGCCCTGAGGGGCCTGGAAGGAGGGTCCTTGTCAGGTCTAGTGCGTCCCCCAGTGGAGAAGCTATTACTCTGTCACCTAGGGCCAATGCTGGCACAGGACCTGCTAGTTCTCACTCAACCTGGTGACCTGGGGTCAAGGATCACTCCATTATGTGCCTTGAGTCCAAGGCCAGTCCTGCCTGGGGTCTGTTTGGGGTCAGGGGTCCCTCTGCTTTGTGTTTGGTGTCAGAGGTTGTTCAACCTCATCTTTGGGGGCTTTAGAATTCACTCCTGCTGCCACCTGGAGCCAGGGGCGGCTCAGGCTGTGACCTGAGGTCACAGTCCCTTACTCACCCCTGTGGTCACGAGGTCCAGGTTGTCACAGCCAGGCAGGTACTGCTCACAGGCCCGGAAGGCAGCTTGAGGGTCTGGGCTTATCAGCAGCTCCTGGATGTCTCCCTGGGAGAGGGTGGGGTGGGGACAGGGACACAGGCTGACTCACCCATTCCTTGGCACGGTCCCCCACCTCCTGGCATGCAGCCTTGGTGCTGCCCCCCTCCCAGAGACCCTAAGTTCAAGGATGGCAGCCCCATCACAGTAAACCCTTGCAACTCAGAGAAGCACAGGTGCTATCTGTGCCTCATCACATCACCCCACAACCACACCCACGATGCCCCACTGAAGGTGCATTGGTCCCTTGACGCAGGCACACGGTGAGATGCTACCCTGTGCAGGCCCTTCCAGGAAGGGCACGAGATAGATGAGGTCCCTGGCCTCCTGGAGGTGACACATCTCACAATGGCACACAGCAGTCACCCACCCTGTCTCAGATCAGTTCCCTGACGGACAAGCACGCAGCACAGCATGACCCACTGTCTGTGGCTCTGTGTGCTCCATTCGCACATGGCCACCCACGATGGCCAAGCCTCGCACTTGCTTCTCCCATCCCTGGGCTGGGCAGAGGCTGGGCATTTCCCTTCTCCAATCCCTTCTCCAGATTCAGTCACCCCTGCCTCGGTTTCCCTTAGCACGGAACCCTCTACCTCAAAAGTCTCCTCCCCGATGTCCTGGGTCCCCAGAACAGTGAGTCCAGCTGTGCTAAGGAATCGAGGCTTCTGGCCCGACACAGGGGGCTGAGATTCACAGTCGGCTACCAGGGTCGCTGTGTCTCCATCTATGCTGACCGCCACACGGTGCCATCTGTAAGGGAAGGGTCTCAGTGCCGGTGCTGCTCACCTCACCCTCCCTGGACCCTACCCCTCCTCCGATACTCACTGGCCATCCATGAGGTTGACCTGCTGGGGCAGGGGGTCGAAGGAGTCACCTAGGAGGGCCAGACCTGGCCCCAGTGCCAGACCCAGCTGCCGGGCACCCTTCTCGTCATAAATAGATAGAAGGACAGACTGATTGGCCTGCTGGGCCCTCAGAGTCATCAACATGGAGAAGTTCGCGGGAAAGTGTCCATCTGGATGGACAGAAGGAGTGGGCAGTACAGGAGGCTTAGAGGGCTCCACGCTCCCCAGTGAGGACACCCGGGAGCCGGCACTCACCTGGGAACAGCTCCTGTGTGGGGATGCTGAGCTTGCTGGCCCTGCCCACTCTGAATGCTCGGTCACCCTCTGGAGCCCTCTGGGGGCAGAAGCCAGGTCCCTCGGGGACCCCAGCCTGGCCCCCACGCACGCCCAGGGCCTTTAGCACATCCACGGGATCGGCTGCAGAGAGAGGCCAGGGTGCAGAGAGCAGTGAAAACAAGCCCAGGACTCCATGATAGGGGCTCAAGTTTGGGGACCCCCTCCTCCCCCAACCCCAAGTGTGTTTATGGCTCCGGAAGAAGGAGGCGGCCTGGGACCAGCAACCCCCCCCCCCTCCGCCGCACAGATGTTCCTCCTGGAGCAGTCTGTTGACTCCGGGGTTTTTTTCCCCCTTGGTTTTTGGTGAGAAAAAAAGCTGACCTAGTTCTGGGATGAATCAAAGCTTCCTGGCCTGAGCCCCGGAGCCAAACTGTCCCCTTCCCTCCACTCCCCCGCACCAGCTCCTGGGATGACTTCCCATGCCTGGAGTCCCCTCGCCAGGGGAACCACATGGGAAGGAGGGGCTCATAGAAGTTCAGCTCCTGCCTGCTCCCTCTGACCTCCTCCTGGCCCCCCAGCTGCTCTGAACATCGCCCTTTGACCACCGTCCCCCAGGACCCCCTTCCTCTGCCCATCACCTACCCTGACTTCCTTCTGACCTTCTCCTTGGCCACCATCACCCATGACCTCTTTCCTGTAACTCCCGCCACTGTGAGTCTCCCTCCTCTGCCCATCCCTGCTCACCTCTCTCTCGGGCTCCCCACTTTCACCTCCTCCCTCTGGCTTCTCTCCCATTCCTTCCTCTGGCCTTCTCCCTCCAATTACCTGCTGACCCCATCCCTTGGCCTTTCCCAGTCTCCTCCATCTGACCTGTGACCTCCCAGTTCTATCACTTTGACCTCCTCCTTCTGATCACCTCTCTCTGATAACCTCCCCCATCTCTCATCCCAGCAGAGGAATAGATCAGTCTGGCCCAACCCTATCCGAATCCAGGCCATCCTCCCAGCCCCACCCGAGGCAGCCAGGCCAGTGTTAAATGAAACCACATGGCCTGGGCAGGGGCGGGTGGGGGCTTCCCCTGGGCCCAAAGCCCCTGCCTGATCACATCCCCTCCACCCTCTGCAGACTGTCCCACTAACCCCCTGACCCAGCCTCTTGGCAGGAGCTAAATTCTGCTGAGTCTGCCATGACCTCACCCCCCAGGGGCAGCTCTGCTGAACTCATCGTTGGGAGCTGGGGCAGGGGCCAGACATGGGGAGGATAGGGGCTTAGACGAAGACCCTCATCCCAGCTCCTCCTGGGGCGAACACTCACTCTCCAAACTCCAGAGCCTCATCCCAGCCCCTGTTCCCTCCTGACGCAGGAGCCTCCTTCTCCTTCTCTCTCCTTTCTGCTCCTTCCTTCTCTCGATCCCACTTTCTGTGCCATCTTCCCAGTCCTCTGCATCCTACTCTGAATCAAACCACCCCTCCTCCCTTGCTCTCTCAGCACCTTGTTGTTTGGTTCTTTCCATCTCAGACTCTCTCTGTGGGTCTCTAACTCTGTGCTTTTTTTTATCTCTATAGTTCTGCATGTAAATCTCCTCTCTCTCTCTCTCTCTCTCTCTCTCTCTCTCTCTCTCTCTCCCTATCTCCCCAACCTGCCTGCCAACCCCCACTCCTAATTGCTTGTTTTGTGGCTGGGTTGTCATTAAGAGGCATTTGAGTTACAGGCCCCTGGGACTGAGATCTGGACTCCCAGGCTCTGCTGACCACAAGGGTCACTCCCCCATGGAACAATCTCGGTTGCCCCTTCTCTAGCCTGGGGCCCAGGGAGGACTGACATCCACCACCTCACCCTGCCCAGAGACTCTCCCCTGCCCCAGACCCCAGCCTCCATGCAGTACGAGGGGGTCTCCTTCAGCAACTGCTCATTCACATTTCAAAAGTCCTTCCTGGCATCTAACCCAAAAGATTCCTGCTTCAATCTTGTGTCCCTTCTGTAATGACCTTTCGGAAACTGACTGCCCTTTCTTTCCATGATTGGCCTCATGACAAGGAGACACACAAGAGGCATTGAGTCCTGCCTGCAGGGCCAGGAGGTGGGGGTCTGTCAGGGACCAGCCCACGCTTCTCCCCCCATCCTACCCCACCCGCACACACATAACCCTCCCCCCTGTGCTGGTCAAGTCCCCAGGGAAAGGCTGGGTGGGGTCTAGGCTACAGAGGGAGGCAGGCAGGAGGGTCTAGACTGGGACATGGTTGGGATCTACTCAGGTGGAAGAGAAGAGGTGTCAGTGTGTGCGAGAAAAAAAGTACACACAGGAGATTGTGCAAGTGTGGGTGGCTGAATGGATAAGAGAATGGCTGAGGGGTGGATATCCACGTGTGAGCTGCCGTCCTGCAGGTGGTCCAAGTTGGTCTGTGATCGTGATGGCTCGGATGTGTGATGGGGTTGTGGTTCTACAGCCAGGAGACACTACCACATGGTTCATGGGAGAATGTGACCAAGTCAGCGAGTGGGTTTGGTTGTAAATGTTGGCCATGTTTGTATGGATGCCAGGGGAAGTAAGTGTGAGAATTCAAACGTGTAGGAGATGGGCCAAAGCAGTGAGCATGTGTGGGGTGGTTGATGGGCTGCCTGGGCGGGGCCACGGTGTTTCCATTCCTGGTGTCTCAGGAGGCTTATATTCTGAGTGGATGCATGAGATTGCATGAGCATGTGGATGTGCGGACGTGGGAATTGGGCAAAGGCCAATCGGGGATTACCCATCCGGTCAGTCACCTCCCTAGGCTCAAAAGAAAGTGAGAAAGTGTGGTGTGTGAAAGTCGAGGACTGAATTCACCTTAGGGAGGGATTTCCAGGAGGGCCTAGCCTCCAGTCCCCCAGATCAGGGAATCCCTGAAAATCTATCACTTCAGGAGCCACTACGTCCCCCCTGACCCCTGGGGCGCCCCTCACCCCTAACCCAGCAGGACGCGGTAGGGCGCTTGGCCAGATGCGCGCAGCTGGGCGTGCGTCAGCGCTGACTCACCAGTCCTGAGGCCCCCGGGACCCCTGGGGGGCCCCTGAGAAATTCCTAGGGAAAAACACCCCAGGCTTGCGCAGCTGGGGTGGGGAGCAACTTCCCCGCCGGCCCCCTCCCGCACTCCGCCCCGCCCCGCCCTGCGCCCCGCCCGCCTCGCCCCTCACGGCAGCCCTCCCGAGGCCCTGTCCATGGTGCTGATGTTGGCTCTAGGGAGGGCGGGGTGGGGGAGGGGAGAGGGGTTGGGGAGAAAGGGAAGCACGCGCCCATTTGGGGCAAAGGAAGAAGAGGGAGAATGAGATGAAGCCACTTGGGGACGCGTAAAGGGAACTGTGGCTCCCCGAATAGCCCGCTCCCACGCTCACCCCTCCTCACCATCAGTCTCAGAACTGACCACTCATGTTCTCATGGGCAACGACTTAGACCCCCAAAGCACAACTACAGCCCTCCCGGGGTCACCCGGAGACACACAACCATACCTGGAGCAAACACACAATCACTTCCCAAATCAGCCCCAGACCCAACACTGCACACTCGTATCTGGCAATACACACCCTCCTGGGGACCACCCTACCATCCAATCAACCAGTCAAGGTCAACCTCCACATCTAGGAGCACATACGCTCTCACTCCAAACCGCTGCGCACGCTCTCTCTCTCTCTCTCTCTCTCTCTCTCTCTCTCTCTCTCTCTCTCTCTCTCACACACACACACACACACACACACACACCTAGAAACTGCATTCATTTTCATCCACCCGCCAGGAAACAGTCATACGCCTCCAGGACAACCCCCGCCCCCAGCTGTCACACCCACGAATCACTCAGAGTCAGACACTTGTGTCCCACACCTCACCGTGCTCACACGCAACGCTCATGTCCCCTGCACTCGCCCCCATGCCCTACTCTGCCCAGTCTTTGGGGTCTCTCTGGGTCCTGCACCCAAGTACTATGGTCTCCCTTCCGGCTCACCGGCCTGCGTCCTGGGCAGAAGCAGCAGCGCGGCCAGAAGCAGGCAGAGGCCGGCCCGCGGCTGGCCCAGGCCCCAGAGGCTCTCCATCCCAGCGCGGCCAGTGCGCAAGACGGGGAACGGGACAGGGCGTCTGCGGGGTGCGGCGACTCCCCAGGCTCAGCGCAGTCACCCGCGGAGGTCGGCTGCAGTCGGGATCTGCAGGAGACGGCCCGAGACCCCGCCCTGGCCGCGCCCTGCGCTCCAGCGCCGGGCCAGGCAGCGCTCGCAGGAAGGGGGAGAACTGACAGCTGGAGGGGGAGTTGGGAAAGTTTTCACTGAGCGCGGATTGGCCAGCGGGGGGTGGAGCCCTGGACCAGGCGCTGGGCCGTTCCGTCCTACCCCACAGCGGAGGAGGAGGTCACTCCCACCCAGAGCTAGAATCCGGGGTTCACATTAACCAATCTAAACCCTTTCTTCTTAGCAGCCTCCTCAAAAGGGCCCACCTGCACCTCCATCCGGGCCCTGGCATTAGCAGGACTTGCAGCTCCTACCAAATCCTTCCGGGCTCACCCAGGCTCCCAATCCGGGGGTAGGCAGGCTCACCCCCATGCTCACCCACCTGCCGTACCCCAGTCCTTTAGCCCCACAAAGTAGGTCCCAGCTGCACCCCAAGGCCTTCCCTTCAGGACCCTCAGTAAGAAGTCCTTGTCCTCTCTCAAACCTCACCCAAAATCAGGTTTCCACTTACCCTAAACCTTCAATTCTCCACCCGAATCCCACAACTGGGTGTCTTGATAGCACCCCAAACTCCCAGCACGGATTCCAAAGCAAAATGCTCACTTTCCCCCCATTTTTAATCCTTGAATAAAGATTCCACCTCCATGCCTAGTCCTCACCTCCCGCTCCTTCAGGTGCCCAAATGGGTGCCGGGCCTGTCCTAAATCCTCACCAAATGGGGAAGTCTGACCTACCCAAAGCAGGACATTGCCACCAGGGGAGAGGGATGGATTCCTTCCATTCCTGGGGTGAAGGAGAGCCTCCCTCACCCCGCTGGTACCCCCCCCCCAGCTGAAGAGGCCCCTGGGGTCAGGGAGGGATTCTGTGCAGTTAGACAAGTGCAGACCTGCAGGGTGAGAGGTGTGAGGGAACTTTCCCCAGAAAGGAACCAAAGGGGCGTATCCTGGGCCCTGAAATGCCCCCCTCATGGGAGACGCAGGAACCGCCTCTCTCTCAGCCTCCTCAGACAAAGAGTCTCTGTGTCCCCAGAGAGGAGGGGGTGGGGCCCCATCTGGCTTGAGAAAGAGATGGGCCCCCTGTGATGGGGCAAGGAGAGGAAATCTCCCCAAGCAAACCCTCCTCCCTTCCCAGGGACATCGGAAGCTGAGAATTCTCCAACTAAAAGGCTCTTACAAAGTTCCTGTCCTGCCCTGCCTTGTTAGGAAGTTCTTCTTGTAGTCTAACTTCTTGCATTCTTCTCTGAAGGGACCCTTCCGGGACCACACTCCTATTTCCTTTCACTTTCTCCCTCTACCAGAGTTTCCTCTTCCAGAGTAGATATAGTATAAGAGAAGGGATATCCCCGCTTGTTCCCTCACACCCACTAAAATTCTCCCTGGCCCTGAATAGTTTACAAAAATAATAAAAATAAAAATTTAAAAGAACAGTTATGAGTGTAGCAGGTATGGAGAATCATATTGTTTGTTGTGGTGCTGGAGGTGGAACCCCCCGGGGCCTCACAAGTGCTAAGCTAATGCTTTACCCCTGAGCAATACCCCCAGCCCCCCCAAAAAGAAGGTTTTGGCAAATAAAGGAAACGGACTGTGAAGAGTCGAAGGATTTTCTCCAGCCACCTGTTCAGGGTTGTGCAAGCTACAGTGGAGGTCTCCTGGGGCCCCTTTGCCCTGCAAGGGATCAGGTAAAAGGAGCTTAGACGGAGAGATCAGACAAGGGTGGAGGGGTGTCCTCTCAGTCCGAAGTCGTGTCCAGGGAGGGATCAACATGGCCTCCTCACCCAGGACCGTGCTGATTTCAGGCTGTTCATCAGGAATTGGCTTGGAGCTTGCTGTGCACCTGGCTCATGACCCCAAACAGCGTTACCAGGGTAAGGGGCCCGGGGGGACCTGGGGACAGCCGGGGTGGGCCTGGCTTCCTAGGAGCCTCAGCCCCCCCCCACCCCGCTGTCTCCGCAATCTCATCCCCTCCAGCTGTACATGGAAAGGCCCCTCTCCCTGCAGGACCATCCTCTCATCCAGCAAATATTTCTTGCGTATCTACTGTGTGCCAAGCTCTGCTCTGGGTGTTAGAAACAGCGATGGACAAGAGACAAAAATCTCAGCTCTGGGTAGTGGTGTCCTGGGGGAGGGCAGGGAAGACAGACAAACACATAAAAAGAAATTGCAGTATGTCTGGCCATCACAAGTGCTGAAGAGCAAAACAAAGCAAGGGAAGAGTGTGACCGGGGTCGAGTGACCGGTGTCATGGGTGTCAAGGGTTTATGTGTTATGAAGGGCTGCTCCATAAGGCTTATCCGAGAGGGCTCCTTTGGGCATTCCTGGGCATGGATAATTACTTTGTTGACTCTGCCCCCCGCCCCCAGATTACTACTACTCCAGGATAAGCCTCTTACATTCTCTTGACCTTGGGGACTTAAGGGAGCCCTCTAATTCCAGGTTCTTGCCTTCCTGAGGGTCTGGAGTAAATGGCTACAGACTGCGCCCCAACCCTAGGAACCTCTGCCCTGGAATAGGCTGAGTGTAATTAGGCAAAGGGCAGTTACTTAAGCTCAGGCTGCTGGGAGGAGGGCACTGCCCCAGCTGGCAGGGCTGCCTCTCCCAGCCCTCTGCCCTCTGTCTTAGAGGCACAGCTTTGAGTGTGACAGGCAAAGGTCAGCGTGCAGAAAGCAACTTGTGTAACTGTAGGTGGGCCAACAGGCCTATAAAACTGCTAAAGGGTAATGCTCTTGAACTCTCATTATGTGCCAAGTGTCACTTAAGTGCATCTAATATGTCACTTACTCTTCACATCGCCCCCTGTGAAGAGGCCACTTACTATCTTTTGCCTTATTTTAGAAAAGAGGAAACAGAGGCATAGACTGCCAAAGGCCCTTGCCCAAGGTCACCCAGCTAGGAAGTGGCAGAGCAGAGATATGAACCCAGGCAGCCAGAAGCTGGGACCACACTTGTCACTATACTGCATTCAGGATGCCAGTAAGCTCATTCATCTATATAACACCTGTGAATCCCACAGACTAACACTATACACAAATAAATGTCCCCCAGGAGCACATATGTGTGACATGCACAGAGGGGCATGCAAACATGTATATGTAGTATATATGCTGAGGCCATGCAAGGGCACCAGGCATGGTGGCTCATGCCTGTATCCCAGCAGCTCTGGAGGCTGAGGCAAGAGGATCATGAGTTCAAAGCCAGCCTCAGCAAAAGTGAGGCACTAAGCAACTCAGTGAGACCTTGTTTCTAAATAAAATACAAAATAGGGCTTGTGGCTCAGTGGTTGAGTGCCCCCGAGTTCAATCCCTGGTATGCATGGGCTTGCTACAAATTCAAGTTCAAGTCTCAGTTACCTACCTATTCTAGTTACTATTGCTCAATAATGAATCACCCCAAAATGTATGCTGTAAAACAACTACAATCACTTGTTTTTCCACCTACAGCTCACATAGGTCATGAATTCAGGAAGGACTCAGAGGGTGCTCAGGCTCAGAGTCAAAGGCCACAGCTGGCAGAGTGGGGACTGGAGTAGATGGGGATGGGAAGGCAGCTCACTCCCTTCCTGTAACCTTAGAAATTCTTCTTGTAGTCTCTCTTCCTCAGCTAGCTTGGGCTTCCTTGTGGCATGGTGCCTCAGGATAACTGGGCTGCTCCATGATGGGCAAGGGCTGCAAGGAGAGTGTTACAGCAAGTAATGCAGAAACTACAAGATCTTTTTGGACTTCAGAAACCACACTGTGTCACTTCCATTGGTTTCCACCTGGTCATACAATTCAACAGGAAGGTGGGGAGCTCAGTGGTAGCATGCATATGGCCCTGGGTTCCATCCCCAGTACTGAGGGTGGGTGGTTCAAGGGGAGAGGGAGGGAATTTGATTCAAGATCACATGCCTGCATATCTGCATGCATGTGTGTGTAATGCTGGGGCTCAACCCCAGGGACTTGCCTGTGCTAAACACACTCTACCACTGGGACACATGATTTCATGTCTTGATGGAGGAGTGGCAAGATTTGAGAAGAGTTTGTGCAAAGGAAGATTTTGTGCAGACATTTGGGGGGAAACAAGTTAGTGCAATAATTAGTAGGGTCCTTGCAAGTTAGAGATAATGCTCAGCACAATGCCTAGCACATAGTAAATGCTCAGTAAACTGGAACTTCCTATGTCAATGCTGCAAATGTGGTTATTCCTACTTGAGTGTTCAAAGCACGTATGTTGGCTGTAGGTGTGTGTGAAATTTTTCTCATGGCAATCTTGTTTGTATTTATGTTTTTATTGTCTTACTCATTAGATTATAAATTTCACAAAGGAAGGTACTTTATCTTTTGGCGGGGAGGGGCTGCTGGGGATTGAACCCTGGAGTGCTCTAATACTAAACTACACCCCAGCCCTTTTTATTTTTATTTTATTTTTTAAAAGGATCTCACTAAGTTGCCCAGGCTGGCCTTGAACTTGCCATGCCTATGACTCAGCCTTCCAAGTAGCTGGGATTACAGGCATGCCCCACTGTGCCTGGCAGGACTTTTTCTTATTTCACACAATAGTACCTAGAATAAGCATAGTTTGTAGTATATGCTCAATAAACTTTTGTAGGATGGATGGATGTGGCTGCATGTTAACACGAGCACACAAGTGTGCATTTGCAATGAACATAGGTGTGCAAACCTGTAGGTCTCCATCCTCTGGAACTGCTTGTGCAAGACAACAGAAACACCCAGGGAAAGGAGCCAGTTGCCTGTACCAACTCTGTTCTGTGCCCCCAGTGGTGGCCACCATGAGGGACTTGAGAAAGAAGGAGATGCTGGAGGCAGCTGCTGGGGACGCTCTGGGAAAGACCCTCACCGTGGCCCAGCTGGATGTGTGCAATGATGAGTCAGTGGCCCAGTGTCTCAGCGGCATCCAAGGAGGGGAAGTGGACGTGCTGGGTGAGACTTTGCAGCCCCCAGGGCCATTCACCCCACCATGATCTAATTATAAACCCTCCACACGGCAAGGTCTGAGTCCAGCCCTCTGGCTTTACCCACAAGCTCCAATCTTCTACAAAAGGGGTAGACCAGTTGGCCAAGAACTGGGACTCTCAATCAGTCCATTAGGGATGCTAGAAATAATCTAGGACCTGGGGGTGGAGTGGATTTAATGGGATAGACATTATCACATATGGAGAAACCCATATGTGGTTGGAAAAATTACTTAGATGAGTCACTTGGGGAAAGAAAAATGATGAAGAAACAACTCATAATCCCTGAGCCGTCTTCTCAGGAGGGTGGGTGTAGCTGTTTTGAAAAGATTTGGGGTCAGAGCTGAATTTCTCACGCATTACAGGCATGCTGTTCCTTGTGGCCCTTGCTCCCACCCTGGGCTAAGGTCCCCATAACAAATGCTAGACTGTGCTTAAACATCTTCTTGGAGTTGGAGTCGGGGGTAAAAGGGTGATCTGAAGAGTGACCTCAGTGACACTAGAAGAGTGGGAGGAACTCTAATGTAACACTCAACACTTCTCTCTCCAGTGAACAATGCTGGCGTGGGCCTGGTAGGGCCCTTGGAGGGGCTCAGCATAGACACCATGAAGAACATCTTTGACACCAATTTTTTGGGAGCCATCCGTCTGGTCAAAGCTGTTCTTCCAGGAATGAAGAAGCGGCGACAGGGTCATATCGTGGTGGTCAGCAGCGTCATGGGTCTGCAGGGTGAGCCCTGGAACCCAACCCTTAAGTAGTCCTCCGGTGTCTGACCCTTCCCAGGCTGAAAGGATGGCAAATAGGTTTAGCTCATTCCAAATGAGCCGGGAGAGCTGTGTTGGGAAGGATTCCGCAGCTCAGAAAGAAATGGTTCTGGGATAGATTAACGTGTCTGCGGTAGTGTACAGGCCTCCAAAGCCATCCGCATTCCAGAATCCACTCCACTTCTGGACATCTCCAAAGCACTCTCCCAACCATTCCCAAAACTCCAAAAGATCATCAGAACTCCTTCTCCTGAGACTCCCCAGTGCCAAACACAGCCCACCAGGCCCTAAAGAGATCCCCAGGCTCAGCAGAAAATAGAGCATCCATTGACTGGTGATGTCTGCGATGGGCCTACTCTGGAGGCCACCTACCTGTCATTCATGCTCCTGGGCCTGTCCCCTCCCCAGCATCCTCTAAGGAGTCCAGTCTACTTGACACCCTGCCAAAGAGAAGCACTGTCAAGGTCCCTAATGAATGGCGCCTGCTCCGGTGGGTGCTAGGGACCCCATGCCTGCATGCCCCAAGAAGGAAATAGGGACAAGGAGAACCAGGAAGAGATGGCACCTGGCACCCCAGGAACACCTTGATCTGGCCCCACATGTCCCCATCACACAATGTCATATACCCAAAACGTCAGCCCCCAGTTGTCCCCGGTTCTGATCCCCAGGTCCTCTTTGTTCTGTCTCCCAACCACCCCGTTACTCTGGGACCCACAAAGTCCATCGCCCAGATCCCCAGAGAGCCCCCTCCAATCCCCTCAGGTGTCATATTCAACGAAGTCTATTCAGCCTCCAAGTTCGCCGTGGAGGGGTTCTTCGAGAGTCTGGCCATCCAGCTGCTCCAGTTCAACATCTTGTGAGCAGCCGGGGAGGAGGGGGGTGGGCAGAGGACAGGGAAGGGCAGTGGCGGGGGTGGGGTGGGGGGGTAAGCCAGGCAGGGAGGGGAGCGAGGGAGGCACTGGAGGGGGCTGGGGGAGCAGGACTGATGAGAGGGTGGGGGAGTCCGGCCCACTAGCCCTGCTCCTGTCCCCAGCATCTCCCTGGTGGAGCCGGGCCCTGTGGTCACTGACTTCGAGGGGAAGCTCATGGCTCAGGTCGCCACGGCCGAGTTTCCAGGCACCGACCCCGAAACCCTGAGCTACTTCAGGGACTTCTACCTCCCCGCCTCCAGGGAGCTCTTCCGCTCAGTGGGACAGAACCCAAAGGACGTGGCCCAGGTGAGTGGCCAGGACAGCCGGTCAGGGACGCAGGGGCGTGGGGAGCCCCCTGGGCCCGGAGCTCAGGGATCCATCTCGCAGGCCATTGCCAAAGTCATCAGCTCCACGCGGCCCCCGCTGCGCAAGCAAACCAACCTCCGCTACCTGACGCTGGCGGCGCTCAAGGCCGTGGACCCCTCGGGCAGCCTGTACGTGAGAACCGCCCACAGCCTCCTCTTCCGCTGGCCGCGCCTGCTCCACCTTAGCCTCCGCTGCCTGGCCTGCGGCTGCCTCCCGGCCCGGGTGGAGCCTTGATGAGCAGAGACTTGCCGGCGCTCCCGCCCTGGACACCGCGGCACGGCCACACCCCAGACCCAGGGCCGCTCACACTCGGTTCATTCGTTCATCTCCTTCATAAACTCGTTCTGCAAACTGCTTCCATCGCTCTAGGTCTGGGCATTGCTGAAATTCCAGAAAAGGTCTCCCGTCTCCAGACCCAGAGCCCTCCCTAGTCAGGGCTGGGGCAGAGGAGAGATCCTGGGACCCCGGGGGTCTGCCCACACGGGAGGGGGAGTCGCCTTCCTGGGGGAGGGGGTATTGTCATGACCTTGAAGGACAAGATAGACTGTGCTTCATTCAGTCTTATGACTTCATGATCCTGGACCTGGGAATACAGGGATGACCAGAACACCTCCCCCTCCTCTCTCTCTCTCTCTCTCTCTCTCTCTCTCTCTCTCTCTCTCTCACACACACACACACACACACACCCAGAGCTGAGTGAACCAGGTAGTCTCGACTTTCCTGCCCACATTCCCCATTAGCAAAATGTGTTTGTGTGCACACAGCCATGTACTTATATTTTTTCCATTAAATGTATAAAACCACAAGTTGTAATTAATATTTAATAAAACTAAATGTTTTAAATTTTAATAAATTAAAAAGCCAATAGGGTCCCCTGGGAGCCCCCAAGATGGTGTCCCCAAGTTTCTCTCTCCAAGAGACTTTGGAGGCAAATGGATTTTGGGTTTCTGGCTCAGTTGCTGCTCCATAAATAGGTGCCCCCCGGACATTTTCTATACCCCAGAGGTGGCAATAGCAATACTGAAATGACAGCAAAAGTCCCCTTCCTTGGTTCCTGTCTCTTGAAGTGTCTACTGGGCTTGGTGTCTGAGTGTCGGCCTCCCAGGGAAGCGTTTCATTACTCATTTTGTCCACCCTGTGGCCATGAGATGGAGTCACTCAATCTTGCCCAGTTCACAGGCCAGAAACCCTGCTTGTGGGCAGCGGAAGGGTGGACCACAATGAGCTGTCTGTCTGATTCCCAAGTCTGTGTCAGGTTCACTGTTGCTGGTCTTCAGGGGTCTCTTCTAGGAAAAAGGAAACTGAGTTCCAGGCCTTAGGGAGAGGTCTCTGTGTCTCTGCAAACATCAGGAGTCACGTTTGCTCAGTTTTGTTGTTGGGTTGGTGAAGTCAACTCCTTTCCCCTCCTCCACACGGGACTTCTGAAGCAGTGTTGGAATTCAAGCAGCGCTCAGCCTCCTGGGGGGAGTGGTTCCAGAACCCCAGCAGACACCAAAATCCAAGAGGCTCAAGTCCCTCATGTAAAGTGGTGTGGTGTTTGCAGAAATCCTCTGAACTTAGTCACATATACTGTCACTTCTCAATGACTTACAATACAATACACCATAAAAACTATGGGAATGGTTGTTATAATGTATTTTTTAGGGGATAATGACAGGAAAAAAGTCCATGTATGTTCAGCACAAATGTAATTTTTAAAACAATCTCCAATCTGCATTTGATTGAAACTGTGGATACAGAGGTCTAATTCTACAGGAAATGAGATGGTGGGGACGGTTGTACAACCTTGTGGACACACTAAGACACACTGTATTGGGTGCTTTAAAATGGCAGATTGTGTGGTGAGAATGAATGGTGAATTGTAGTTTAATAGAAATTCAATCAACTTTAAAAAAAAATTATAGGCATCCCTGTGATGGAGGGAGGTCTTCTGATTATCCCAGGAGCTCCCCTCTTGAATTGTATCCACAAATTTCCCTGTGCTTTGGCTTCCAGTTCTGTTGGGTTCTGCCAATGGGAGGCACCTGCTGGCAATCAGAGGGTGGCAGAATGTCTTAGTCCATTTTCCATTGCTATAACAAAACACCTGAGACAGGGTCATTTGTAAAGAAAAGATTATTTAGCTCACAGTTCTGGAGATCCAAGCATCAACTTCTGTTTGGTTCTGGTGAGGGCCTCATGGAAAAGGGAGTAGGAGCTTTTCTTTTCTTTTCTTTTTAACAGTACCAGGAATTAAATTCACGGCCACTCTACCACTGAGCTCCATTTCCCAGTCCTTTTTGCTTTCTGAGACAGGGTCTCATTAAGTTGCTAAGGCAGCTTCTGCCTCCTGAGTAGCTGGAATGTAGTCCCAAGGCAACACCATGCCCAGCTTCGTTTTAAAACAATCCATGCTCATGATGAGTCATTTACTCTAAGAGATGAGCATTAATCCCGTCTAAGGGGAGTACCTGCCATGACCTAACGACCTCCCACTCCCCCCAACCCCCCTCAATGATTCCATCATCTGTCAGTACTGCCACACTGGGGATCAGGCCTCCAGTCCTTGAACAAATCACATGCAAACCATAGTAGAGGACAAAGACCAGGGTACTTAGCTTCAAAGTTCCCTTATTCCTGGTCATGGTGTATGAGCAACATCTCTCTAGCTAAGGCCCTAACTCAATTAGAATTAAAAATAAAATAAGGCACCAACACCAGTTTCCAAGAACCACCTCCTCTCTTTGCCTCTTAAAGATGGCGGTGGGCCCAGTGTAGGGCACACCTGGAATCCCAGCTCCATGGGAGGCTGAGGCAGGAGGATCTCAAGTCTAAGGCCAATCTGAGCAACTTAATGAGACCCTGTCTCAAAATAGATGTTAAAAAGGGGCTGGGAAGGTAGCTCAGTGGTGGAGCACTCACCTTGCATATGAGAAGCCCTGGGTTCAACCCCCAGCACTGCGGGGGGTGGGGGTGGAGAGGTGGTGATAAGACCCCACAGTTGCCAATGACAGCCTTTTCATCTTCCTGGGCTCACCTGTCCCCTGCCTCCACCACTCCCCAAAGTACCCACTGGAAGGACCCTGATTGATATGTGTACATTGTAAAGCAGAGGAAAACAGTTCACCCCTGTCGCCCACCTGTGTCCACATTAACCCACGACACTACCACCAAGCATGCTCCTGATTCACTACTGGTCTCATTCTGAAAGTCTTCACCATCCTGAATTAATTAATTAATTAACTGATTTATGTATTTATTTATTTGAGAGAGAGAGAGAGAGAGAGAGAGAGAGAGAGAGAGAGAAATGCCTTTATTTTTTTTTTTATGTGATGCTGAGAATCGAACCCGGGTCCTGCCTGTGCTAAGCGAGCGCTCTACTGCTGAGCCACAATCCCAGCCCAACCATCCTGAATTTTGTGACCAACATTTCTTTGCTTTTTCAAAAATTCCCTGAAACACATCACTTTCTTTTTACTATTTTATCTTACTTTATCTCAGGGCCTCCTGCCAGCTGAGCAAGCACTCTACCACTGAGCTATGTCCGCGGCTCTTTTTTATTTTATTTTGAGGGCAGGATTACACTAAGTTGCCCAGGCTGGCCTTGAACTTGGAATCATCCTGTCTCAGCCTCTCACTTAGATGGAATTATAGGCACGCACCACCGAGCCGTGCCTGGCTTAAGGAAAAAAAAAAATTGTCTCTTTGCCATGAAGGGAAACCATCATAGCATCTTAAGCAGGAGATTAGCCAATATGTAGTTGGGGGGGGGTGCAGGGGAGCCCTGCTGGGGGTGGGGTCATGTAGGCTGAGTCCTCACAGCTGCCCTGCTTCCCTATACACTTCTCAGCTATTTCCCAAGGCTGGTGGTGCCATGAGCCCCTAGAACCCACGCCATAAATTCCTTTGTTGCTTAAATCACCCTGAGTCAACTTCTGTTGCAAAGGAAGACTCCTTGCAGCTCTGGGTGGTAACTACGTAAACCAACACGTCGAGGAGACAAAAAGCTGTTCCTGAATTCTAGCCTGATGCTACTGCTGACCAGGGGAGATTGGCAACCGCTCAGAAGATGCTCAAGGCAGGCCAGTTCCGGGTTCTGGACTGCCACATGCACGCACCCCTCCCCCGGCCTCCCCAATCTCAGCAGAGATCAGTTAGTTCATCCTTCTGGTTGCTTGGGCCAAAAAAAAAAAAAAAAAAAAACATCTCAAGTTCCTCTCTCACACACCTCGCAGCTCAGGTCCTCTCTCCCTCCCCCTCTCCCTCGCCCTCTGCTGGGGACTGAACCCAGGCTGAGCTGTACCCCAGCACCCCTGGGCTCCCCTCCAGCCTCCTTCACTTCGCAGCATCTCCGTGCCCCCCCACCCGGGAAGCCACCATCCATTCTCACCTGGAGCACAGCTGGGTCTCCAAGTCCAAGGGATCTGCATCTGGGGAACAGAAGATGGGAAAGAGAAGAATAAAAACAACAACTAAAAAGCAATGCGGAATAACGACTCTTTGTATAGTGCTTACACTCCATTGGGTATCATAAGTCATCTAGATGATCTGAAGAATCCAGGAAGATGTGCACAAGTTCCATGTCCCTTTATTTAAGGGGCTTGAGCATCTGCAGATTTAAATATCTGTGGGGTCTTGGAACCAATCCCCCATGCATCTGAGGGACAACTTTATCACTGCCGGATCCTCATCTCATCTCCTGCTTTCTGCATCTGCCCTCCTTTAATCCATTCCCCACACAGCAGCCCACAGGACCCTTTTTAAAAACATCACTTGAAGACTGAGGATGCAGCTCAGTGGTAGACTGCCTGCTCCCCACAGGAAACATCCTGGGTTCAATCCTTAGCACATAAAAAATATCATTTAGCCAGGCACGGTGGTGCACACCTGTAATCCCAGGGGCTCAGGAGGCTGAGGCAGGAGGATCAAGAGTTCAAAGCCAGCCTCAGCAACTTAGTGAGGTCCTAAGCAACTCAGCAAGAATCTGTTTCTGATAAAATTTAAAAATCGTCACAGAGTATTTTAATGAACAAAAAAATTGTATATGCTTTTTTTTTTTTTTTACTTTCACTAATAGCAGCATATGATACCCATGATTCTGAACTTTAGTCCTCCTCATGAATATTGTACCCAGGAGGGCTTTCTATACCAGCCCCAAAAGGCATCCTCAATCTTTTGTCAATCTGCAACATATTCCATGGTGTAGATAAAAAGTAATTTATGCAACTGGTTCACGGCTGATGTACCTTTGGGCTCTCTCCATGGTTTTTTTTTTTTGGTTTTGGCTTTTGGAGTTTTTTGCTTCCTGTTTTATAAATGGCTGATGAAGAACTTTATGTGCATCCCTCATTTCACACATGTGTAAGTGTTTCCGTCATGGGATTACTTGGCCAAAGACTCTATGCATTCATGATTGTTATGAGCATTAGTGACTCACCTCCACCCTGGAAGGCCAAGTCCATGTGTAAGCTTGCTTGCTCTCCTACAGCCTGTCACCAGTCTTGTGAACCTATGCAAATCTACTGCATAAAACTTGGCGTGTCAGTGTGGTCTTCATGTGCATTTCTTCTGTTATAAGTAGGGCTGACTTTTCTTTTTTTTTTTTTTTTTAGAGAGAGAGAGAGAGAATTTTTTTAATATTTATTTATTTATTTATTTATTTTTAGTTTTCAGCGGACACAACATCTTTGTTTGCATGTGGTGCTGAGGATCGAACCTGGGCTGCACGCATGCCAGGTGAACGCGCTACCGCTTGAGCCACATCCCCAGCCCAGGGCTGACTTTTCATATGTTGGAGAAACTTCTGCTCACATCTT